ATTGTAATTGTTATAGGTGTATTGAAAAAATTGAGCATATTGAACTAATATAAACCATTGAAGAAGTGACTTTATTAACTGTCCTTAATATATAATTACATTAAAATGAATATTTTATTTTACATGAATAAAAAGAAGAGTGCTAACTGTAATCAATCTAGTCTAAAAATTTAGCTCACTTCAATTGTATTTGTACTTTCTTCAGTTGCATTTTCCATTGTAAAACTGTTTTCATTATTATTTGACAATGGAATTATATGAGAGAGTGTTTTTTGAACAGCTTCGTTACTTAAACGAGTGAAGTATTTCTGATGTTGACCATGATAAACTCTTGTTACTTCAATATAAACAGATACCTAATATGACGAAAAAAGGCAAACAAATTTATTCGTTGATTTAAAGAATGCTTTAATTTTCAATTAGAGTTATGGAGACTATCGTTTTTATACATTTAAAATCATCAATCAATCATTTTTAGACCACCATTAGAAACCTGGAAGCACTGAAAGATAGCCGTTTCGTCCTTGTATAGGACATGAACACCGTTGGATGCCGGCCCAATGGTCCAGAGGTTAGGTGTTTGCGCATAAGACTGAAGGCCTCGAGTTCGAATCCTGCGAGGTGAAGGAGTCGTGGGTGCGCACTGCTGATGAGTCCCACAAAACGGCCGTCTTTCAGTGCTCCCAGATTTGTACCGGTTGTCTAAGTAACGATTTTAAATGTGTCAATACTTTAATTGTAACATCTATATAACAGATTGCATAATCAGGTTAAACATGAAACAAACTCTAACAAATCAATGCTAATCAGTTCATATCGCAAAAAATTCTATTCTTTCTAGACAGAAATTTAAAAGTGAACATTTTTCCTTGTTTTAAGAAAAAAACATTTTTGATTTCATTAACTTAAACAAAAGAAGATGATTTCCATAGTCACGGAACAATCAGTTGAACAATTCAACAGTTACAGACTAGTGGAAGGAATAATTTTTTTTTGTTTAGAAAATTTCAGATAGATGAGAATAATTGAAAAAAAGTATAATTTAATTAAAAACGTGATGTTTAAAAAGTGATTATTTTTTTTTAGAAAAAAAATATTAGAGTGAAACACAATAAGTGAGAATTTTTGTCTATGAAGAATGGAATTATCTATAAAGGAGAGATTATAAAATTTTTGGAAACTTCTCTTCTCTTCATAATTTGCGATTCATTTAAGCTTAAAATACAGTTGTCACATGTTTTGCTTTCTGTATGAAAATGAGTTTAAATCTATGAATGATTTCTGAATCAGTCACAGCATTTTTTAAAATATGTTTTAGTCAGTTATTGTTTTAATGTAAACATGATGTTACGACCGATTTAATTTCAGTACTTTTACAAATTAAATCGATCTATCCTTGATTGTTAACATTCTTGAGTTTAATAAGACTCAAAATATATATGTATTTACAATATATAATTTTTTAGATATCGTTATAATTTTCCTTTAAAATGAATAGCTACTTTATGACTTTATGCTGATATTATCATGTTTCTAAAGTTTGCTATCTCTATTATTTTGCACTAAAATCACTGTTCATTCAATATATATGGTCACCATAAGAAACCTGAAAGCACTTTTCTACCTATTAATGAAGTCATTAGCAGTGCAAATCCACATCCCCGCACGCGGGAACCGAACCCAGGACTTTCACTCTTGTGCACGAAAGCTTGATGTCTAGACCACATTCAAAGATGGTTCTGTCTGATATGCTTTCGCCTTTACAAATCCACCATTACTCGGTAAACGGAACGAATATCAGTGAGTCAATGACGCGACAGGCTATTCTAATTCGATCGTCCCAGGTCCCACTAACTAGAAGAAAAAGTCTTGAGAAGACGTACAGAAATGTATTTCACAGGCACCCAGAAAGTACGAAGTTAACAAGCACACAACTCAAGCTTATTTATAAAACGTCCTTACTAAATTGATCCATCAGCCAATGACAGTTAAAGATCTTCTAGTGGGAAATGCAAGCTGTAGGTCAAAATTTCAAAATGAAAATTACAATCATAGGACCTCTTACAAGTGACTACTGGGGATTTCACCTCCTTAACAATGTCCAACTTTACTTTGTCTGATTTTCAACATTTTATCAGTAAAAGCAATCAGCTCAATAAAAATGACTCTTCTTTTGTCTGTAAAATATATAATACAAACTGATCATAATGATAGTGGTTTTATTTAGTAATCGTTATCGAAACCTACTGCATATGTTGTATTCGGTTGTAATCCATCCAGTAAATAACCTTTTAATGAACTATCACCAATGATTTGCTGGAAATGTAAATCACCGAATTCTTTCTTGCTTGTAGTTGATAAATCAATTGGAAATTGTTTCGCATCGTTTAATCTACTAAATTCAGTCCATAATTCTAGTAAAGATTTTCTTTCATTTGGATTTCCGGATAAATTACGATAGATAATTGTGAATTTCATCTCTTTCATATTGTTTATATCGATTGTAAATGAATTATTTTTGGGTTGTATGTAAATCCATTCAACATAAAGACATGTTATATTCTAAAATAAGAAATGAAACATGAAAATTGTAGACATTAAAATTATTATTATTTTTGTATTAGTGAAAGTAAAAAGTACAAAATTCTTAATATAAAATATTTTGATTATTACAGTATTTTTACCAACAATTAACTTTCTAAATTTTCTTTAATAAGTATATTTTTCGTCCAGATACAAATTTTTCTTTATAGAGAGATGGAGATTGGTGTTTATCATCGAAATCATAAAGCAATCATTGTTAGGCCAACATTAGAAACGTAGAAGCACTGACTAGCCGGTTCTTGCTAGTATGGGACTCCTAAGAAGTGCCTATCCACGCCCTCGCCCACGGGAACAGAATCCATGACCTTCGGTCTCACGAGTGAACACTAAAGCTACAGACTATTAAGGGGGCATCTAATGGTTATCTGATGTCTAACTTTGATCAATCTTAGGATTTTGCGCAACATCACCCATTGTCTTCAGTTAGCTACCGCCTACATCCGAATAGGTTGAACTCCGTTGATTATCTCTTCTCACTAGAGCTTCGAGAATTTCCTCGCAAAACTAGCCAGTAGTAAGCACATTTTACGATTATTCATTATCGAGTGATTGAGATTGTTTTTGTTGAAAACATGATTCATAATGTGAGGAAACATTCATTCATATTTATTTTGGTTGTAGACTGACTCGATTTCCTTGTATTGTTTATGAAAATGTAGATTATATGCAAAAGAACTTATTAACAAACGATATAATTTATATTACTTTAATGTAGTTATCTTATTGTAGTGTTTAAAAATACCGCTTTCAGTGTATTTAAACAGAGATTGAAGTATAGTGTTATTTGGAAGTTAAACAAACAAAAATAATTTTATTAATCTGGGGAAAATCCAGTTAGATCATGAATTCTAGCCATGATACACTAAATATAATTTTGATATCAACAACTTGAAAGTGACACATTAGTGTAGGTGGTTTACAACGGTAGTATGAATTATTTGCATGACAGTAAAGCAAAAAGTAAACGTTTAATGGATTCATTATTTAGGAAATTTATTTATTGGTGTTTTTCCGGATCATCTGGCAGACTGATTTAAGCAATTCAGTAATATTACTAGCAGAAATGAATCTACTGCAGTTCGAAACATGAATGGGAAGATTTAATGAATAAATACAAATGGATTACTAAAAATATATATGTCGATCATTTTTGAACATGTACACAATTATATTATTTGCTAATCTAAACATATAGTTATTAGTACAAGGTAGCATCTGAATATTTATGTGCCTCGAAAATCTTTGGAATACTGCTCGGGTGTCCAGACCAGGACGGCTTATTTCCTAAGGGGCCACTTTCCCAGAACTGGACCCAGAAGTCTGATTTACAAGGCGATTAAGCAATGTCCGGAGATGCAGTCTCATGGTAGCCAGTGATCAAAAATAGATTCATACATCACTCTTTACGTCAGGATCCTGGAGCTCTATAAGCACTATCGGTTTGGAATCAAGGTTTTCCAACCCCCATAGGTAGATGCGTTTGAGTCACTAACCTGGTTGAACCCCTTGAAACTCGATTCTCGTGTTCTAAAATTCGTGAAAAACACCCCTGCCACGTAAAGGCAGTGACTAGGACTTCCCTGTCAATGGCAACATAAGAGTGGCCAAATAAGATCATTTCGAGAGGAAGAGTAGGTAACTAGCGGCAAAATACCCCCTGAGAATTATCATTGGCTTAAAAGAAGTAGATTACAAGTTCAGTTCCTGAAATTCAGTCGAGAGGTCACACCCTGTGCTGTTCAAATTTGCTATACTTAGTGGAGGTTAAGTAATTGGACTTAAACCTAGTGGTTCAAACTTAATTCACTTTCTCTTAAAACTATGTTTAGTGACCAAAGTAGGGTTACGTGTATCTATTTTTAATTAGAATCATTCCAGGTGAAAACGATCACTCGATATTTAACGATTTTACTGTGCTGAAGTCGTTCCATATGGTAAATCTTTGAGACTTAGATTTCTTGATCCTGCTTGATCTTTTTGTTAAAATTTAAATTTTTAGCTTGAACTAATTTAAAACAAGCGATTTCATGGATATTTAAAATAAGTGTGATAGTATCACAGTTAGAACTGGTACAAATAGCTTTTTGACATCATTTACACTATGGTTAAATAGGAAATCGAAACTTAAATTATATATATAAACGATTCTGTTATGCGCGTGAACAGTTTGATTTTCTTTGTCTAAAAAGAAACTATTCAACACTTATTGAAATGTAAGATAAAAGATGTTGGTTTTATGGAGAATTGTCTTTGAGATGGTGGCGAACATTCGTAGCTCAGATGAATAATTTTCATGGAGTTTCATTAACTGAACTGGACGTTTTGGTTGTGAAGCTTTCATTGTTCGTTCGAACAAAATCATAAGAACAGAATCGAATTATTCGAATTTGTCCACGTAATTCGAACAGTCCACTCCTATCTGACGCTGGTGCTGATGATGTTGTTCAGAATAACAAAACTCTGCCACAATAATTATCTTTCTCACACTATCAATCTCAAAGTTGTATAATTGTCAATCTAAACACAGCTTCAAGAATACCAGCCCTGAAATCCAATTCATGGCTACATTTAAATTACAAGTTTGATACAATAAACAGTTTATAATGAAACAGAAGGGATTCAATATGAGTTTGAAATTCAAAATATACCAAACTATCTTTGTTCAACACCTTTAATCTATATTATTAGAACAAACATATCACTTTATTGGTTATAGATACTATCGAAAAAAGTATAAAAACTTGTTAATTGAATGACTTCGTATTTGTAAAAAGACATAACCTGTTTTACCATTAAAAAAATGAGACAACAGTAAACATAAAAGAGAATTTTACTCATTCAAGCAGAAAGACAATTTTATTTTTCACTTTTGTCTAGTCCGCTTCAATTACTTGTTACTCAATGATATTAGTTATTTAGCGCTGTTCACTTGTTTGTTGGAATAAAGTTTTGATCATTTATTCATATACATGACATCTATGTATGTCTATAAAGGTAATTATAATCTTTTTTCTGTATTAATACTGTTCTACGGTCATTGTGTAATTCTAAATAGATTGTTGCTGTATTTTCTAATAGCAATGGCAATACTATGTAGGTCTACGTAGGGATCGATATTTAAGCATGGTCTGGATCAGGGAACTACTACCTGGCAACTTAACCAACGAATGAGTGAACATCTGTTGGGAACGTTAGATCCCTAAAATTTGCTTGATAATGCCTTATTTTGGTTTTCACGTTAGCCAGCATGGGCTGATCAGATGACCTTGAGATTTCAATTCCCACCAGCAAAATCCATGGCTGTGATTGGCTGCAGTGTATTTTAGTATGCTATTTTCTTAACTGTCTTAAGGACGTTCCTATGTTGTATAAATAAACGAGAGTTGTATGCTTGATTGTACTGTGATTGCTGGGTGTTTGTAGAATATACTTTCTACGCTTACAAAGCCTTTTCACTTCAGCCTCGGATTCAATGTAGCCTACCTGGACGCTGGTAAAAGTCTCGTTCGCGTTTATCGACTAAGGTAAACTCGTAATAGCCTCAAGCATACTAAGTGACGAACTTATCACATCTCACAGCATGTATTCATGGAGGTCCAGATGGGAACAATACACAGTTCTATTTTGGCACATCTGACGGATAGTAGTCATAATAAAGGCAGATAGATAAATCAGTTCGAGTGATCTTTCATAGACCTCCATCATTTCCCAACAGAGTTCAATCCTGTCTCCTACATATAATAGAAGCCATAGAAATCCGAATGTTAAAAAAACAAATTTATATGTTCAGAAGAAATTCATGACACTCTTATCCCTTCCTTTGCCGGATATCACTGAATAAACAAATTTTAAAAAATTTTTTATATTTTTGTTATCATTAGCATTATTATTTTCACATCTTGTATTTGTTGGTAATGATCTGCCTCGTTCCATTTATAGTCTTCACTATCTGATTATGTACACATTTTTGATTACCTAATGGTTTTAATGTTTTGTAATGATTATTTTAAGTGGATTTATCCACTCGATCTACCATTTCCAATGTTTAAACATTGATAAAATATTTGTTATTGTATTTTATCATTCTTACTACTTACTATCAGTACACCTGTTTCTTCCTACTATCAACTTGTACTTTTTCCTATTACACGTTGTGACGTAATCTATCTTATTGTGATTACAGACTCATAAATTGCCTGGATTGGTTCAACATTTTCATCTATAAATATTCATGTATGTATTAGAGTATAAAGCTTGATGACCATCTGATTGAAAACAACACTGTTGTTCGCTTTCACCTGTGTTGTTCCAAGAAAATTAATGACCGTCAACATGATCGGACAGATCCATTCAATGTTATCATCGAAAAATTTAATTTCTTTCAGTGAAAAGTCTACAGAGATTATTAAAGTGAAACAGTTTGTCGGAATTCAAAAATTATAATTAACTACTTTCAGTCACTTATAGTCAATCTCAAAATGATACAATTAATAGTTTGACAATGTTCATTTACAAAAAAAGATGAATTTTCTCTATAGTTTTATGTAACATTTGCCTAGCTTTAAATGTTTTTTCTAAAATTTTTAAAAATAACGTGTGTTTCTCTCATTTTCATTGATTACATGTAACAGGAATTTGGAAAATGTTATTTTTCACACAAAAAATAATGGGTTGATTTAAAAATAACAATTCATCTGTCATCAAATGAATACAACTTACATTCACTACTAATGATATAATTTGTAAAGTAGTATCAAGCATATTATCAAAATTTACTGGTTCTGTCCAAGGACTCCATAGTTGATGTTCTAAAACAAGTACACGTAGACTAGATGTACAATAGCGAGAGAGAGAGAGAAAAAAAAGATAACAATAAAAATTAAATCTGATCAATTTTTTTAAATTGTTTTTCTTCGGATATCAAAATACAAAAGTCATTTAGTGACATTTTGACAAAATTGAAATCATGAATGAAAGTGACATTTTGTTTGAAATTAATTGATAAGATATCTTATCAGTACAAAGATATTTTTGTCTGCCTCCTTTGAATTATAGTCGTATGACAATATTTGGTGTGTAGGTTGTTTGAAATTAGAATACTAGACTTAGTGACTTGGTGACATTAATCCAGTTCTAACGGTATTTCTTCCTTAACTTGAATAATCCATGAGATAATTGTTGTGATTAAAGCATTGTTAGACTGTCTATGTAATGTCATTAGCAAGCTAATTGTGTATTTTTTTTGTCTTCATGACATTGAAATAATTAGAGGAATATCTGATTGAAAAGTTCTCAGATAATGAAATTCACATGTTTTATGGTTATCAGTATTTCAGATTTAGGTGAACTTAACAACAATCGGAGTTATGGAGATCATTGGTTTTACACATTGAAATCATGAATCAATCATTGTTAGAAACCCCAAATCACTGGACAGCTGTTGCGTCCTGGTATGGGACTCATCGGTTGTACGCATCCACGACTCTTGCTACCCGCAGAATCCGAAAAATTCGTACAGTGTGCTAACTAGTGACTAGATAGTTGGGGCAATTCTCAGAGTTCCAGTGTGAAGACGTGACTAGAGGGTTTCACCCCAGTTGGGTGTAGACAGAAACTACCGATGAACAATGGGTGAGGTAGCGCAAAATCCTTAGATTGATCAGAGTTAGACATTCACACCGAAGGTCCTGGGTCCGAATCCTGCTAGTAGCAGGAGTCGTGTATGCGCACTGCTGTTTAGTCCCATACCAGGACGAGACGATCGTTCAGTGCATCCAGGTTGCTAATGACGGTCTAACAATGATTGATTCATGCTTTCAATCTATAATAACTAATTAGTTTATAATAGACTGATAGTTTTTATACTACTGAAGAATGTTTTGCTCATTGTAATAGAATATATAAATTATTTGAATGGTTATCATGTTCACAATGTAGCAATGAAGCGACTTCTTAAATCGAATCAAAATTTTAGTCATTTAATCGACTGACCGATCATTCAATCAATCAATCAATCCAGTGCAACGCTAATAAGATATACAAATTAATTGAAAGTTATTCCGTTAATATAAATATTCAATCCAATTTGTAGTGTGTGTTTACAGAAGTGAAATATGATTTGTTTTGATTAACCATTATCTGTAAACAGATATAAATGTCATAGATTATTGAGGCATTAAATATTATAATTAAATAGATAATTGGCTTATTGGTGTAAACAATGTCATTTTATTTGTTTGTTGTTTATACGGTTTCAAACATCTTTTATTAGTCATGTATATTATATTCGTATAATTCTATTTGTGTGTTTTCATCCTTGTGATAAATATGTTTACGGTTGGGTGCTTTCATTTTTCGCTTTGTAAATAAACATAGAGCAGTAGGTGATTTAATGTAAAACCTTATGATTGCCTCTAGCTGTATATTAATGGAGTTTGTAGTAATTACATTCAAAGTTACTGATAAGCCATGCACTATTTAGCAGCCATCATTTTTTTACAATAATGGCAATTTTATTATCAATGTGTTTACCACATTGGGAATGTTGCTGATCTGTATAAAACCATTCTATCTCTTAAGGATATTTGTTAGAATGTAATATAATAGTGTAGGATATTGTTACACTCGTCACTAGGTATGCTAAAAACTATTACGTGTTCACCTTAGTCGAATAACGAGAACTAGACAATGAACCAACGTCCAGGTATGCTACTCTGATCCCTTGACCAAAAGGTACTAACGAGAAGTCTTGATATAGCATAGAAAGTGTAGTCTCTACAAACCCTCAGCCAGCACACAAATCGCGATAGTTTATTTACCACAGGGACGTCCTTGGGAGATTCACAAAACGCACACTAAACTGACACAGTAACCAATCACAGCCGAGGATTTTCCTGGTGGGAAATGTGATCTCAAGGTCAAATGATCGGCACATGAAATAAATCCAAAATAAAGATATATTTATCAAGCGAGTCCTAGGGCTTTGACATCCCCAACATATCTACATTGAATCTCATGAGAAAGATCGGTTCAAATATTTCTATCATTCAGAAATCTACATTTTCGAATTTTATCCAAAATAGAAGATATTTTAAACAAACGAATGAAAATATCTTTATGGCTGAAATGCATCCTTCGTGAAATTCATCTTTTGATAGTTTATTTTAATATTTATTCAATTATAATCAACTCCCTTGATGTAGAGTGTTTTTCTTTCATTCTCTCTATCTATCATAAATCGAGATTGTTTTGACTAAGTTTACAGGCATCAGAAAGTGTTTCAAAAGGTGTTTAGTAAAAAATAAGGAATTTAACAATCTTTGGAGAATATTTTTTTTCATTCAGTAATTTTCTTCCTTTGAAACAACAAATTTTAATTTACAAACGACTAATCTTATTGATAAATCTAAATAATCTTCGATGAGAAGATAATATTCTGATAATTTAGAGTAATGAATTCCTAACAACAAACTAATCACAAACACGCACACACACAGTAACTTGTCAAAATATTTATTAGACGAAATGACAATTAGGTTAACCTCATAGGAATTAAGAACGTGTATAAACAATAAGAGGTGAAAATAATAACCCTTATTTCTGATACATATTAAGAGAGTAGGTAGAAATCGCTAACACAGATATGAAAGTGAGGTTAACATTATCGTAATATTGAGCTTAACAACAATTTCATGACACGTTTTTAATGTATATTCTAATCAAGGAGAGATGTTTAAATGTTTCCTTAAAATTGGATTATTGGGGCTCATTTGTTGCAATTATTCAAGTGTACTTATAATCACTCCCAAAATTAATGTTTGCGATGGTTGTCAGAAGGAGCATCGGCCTGGTGAGTTCCGAAGGAGTTAGTTTTCTACTGGATAGGGTCGCTAACACCACGCCGTAACCTCCTCCTTTCTCCAAGCTTGGGACTTGCAGAAGCTCCACAGGGGCTCCAGGTTCCATGTCAAAATTTCGCTGTCTCATGTTAATTTATTCACTGATATATAATTTAACAAAAATGGGGTGTAACTCAGTCGATGTTATGTAGTTAAAGTTTGAAATAAAGAGTGGTGTATATGTACTCTTAAAATGACATAATATTTAACCTTTACAACTTGTTTTTCATTGTAGAGTTATAAAGATTATTGAGGTTCATTAAAATTATGAATCGATCATTGTCAAACAACCATTAGAAACCTGGAACCAGTGGACGGCTGATTTGTCCTGGTACAGGAATCATCAACAGTGTGCATCCATTACTCCTGCTACTCGTCGGATTCGAAGCCAGGACCTTGGGTCTCGCGCGCGAACGTCTAACCCCTGAACCAGTAGGTCGGCATTCAGCGGTGTTAATTTCTAACTCTGATCAGTCTGGGGATTTCGAGCCATCTCACCGATTGGTCATTGGTAGTTACAGCCTACAATTAACGGCGTTGAACTCTACTGATCACGTCTCCTCACTGGAACTCCGAGAATTTCCTCACGAAGCTAGTCACTAGTAAGCGAGTACAAAAGAGGAATGGTATTTAACTACTTTGAATGAAAAGTTTTTATTCAGTTAGAATTATTAACAAAACAACCAAAATAAACTAATTTACCTGTAAGAGTTTTGTGGTTGAAACACATCATGTAAATCTAATATAATACTTGAATTTTCATAAATATTTGGCAGAACTGAAAATTCCTCTTCTTCATCTACATTGGATTGATTTTTTACATTTGCATTATATTCATTAGGAAATAATATCATTGGTGATCGAGTTTGTCGACTGCGTCCTAAATATTTTATACCCAATTGATAATGTAATTCTTTCATTGGACTATTATAAACAATCCATTTAATGTGAAGAGCCATTGTAAAATTTGCCAGTCGTTTCACTATTGGACGTGATACTATATAAACATGAAGAGATACAAATGAGATATTCCATAATACAATTGTAGAGTACTGAAATCATCAATCAATTATTGTTAGATCACCATTAGAAACCTGAAACTACTGGACGGCCGTTCCTTCTTGTTATAGGAGGTTAGGTGTTCGCGCGCATAACCGAAGTTCCTGGGTTCGAACCCTACGAGGCTCAGGAGTCGTGGATGTGGACTGCTGATAAGTCCCATACTAGAACGAAACGGCCGCCCTGCGCTTTCAGCTTTCTAATGGTGATCTAACAATGATTGATTGATGATTTCAATGCGCAACAAACACTGATCTTCATAAATCTAATTGAAAAATTGTAGAATATTTACTTAATTACTATACCAAAATTTTTAAGACTTCTCATAGTTAGATTAGTTTCTATCAACTTGAGTTGTTTATGATAGACAAGCTATTTGTTTACTAAATAAACAGTGAGTTTACTCTGCGTATGTCTGAACCATCTGACAAACAATCTTGACGTTCAGTAAAAATTACTATTTATAGAGAGCAAATATACTGATGATGTTGTAAGTCTTCGTCAGTTGAGGTGACCAAGACATGCATTGTGTATCCTCATGCACTATCTATCTTGACTAGAGATTTTATTTTTAGTACAGTGGGCTGAAACAAAGCTAAGTGAAGTCAGATCAAAGTGTACCATCAGTTGATGAAGTCATTAAAAAATTTAACTAAGTCATGTTGATAGGTTCAAACTATCTGGTTAAGGTGTGTGAGGTTATCTTAACTAATCATTAGAGACACTAATTGATATAATTCAAAATGTTTCATATGAATATTCGTCAATATAACAGAACGAATAGTTTAACAGAAATATAATTTGTATAGACAATAGAATAGAATAGTTTGCCATTGCTCATACGTATTTACTCTGCCTGGCTTTAGATGTTATTTTTTCCTGAAGTATCCTATAGATTTTTTAATTTAAAAATAACCTAAATTTTCTTCTGTTCTACTTCTGATATTGTTACTTTTCTGTTACTCTGGGATTTCATAGTGGCTACAACGTACGGTAATTTGAATGGATACACTTAAATACCAGATTCTACGTTGCATACAACAACTGACTGACTGTGATAGATTCTGTCATCATAATTGATTACTTCAAGTGGTGTCCATCAAGGCTGTCCACTTTGTTAATTCTTGTTAAGCTTTATCACTGACGTACTTTAAGATACGAGGCCTTCATCATCTGACTTTTCAGGAGTGAACCTTCTACCAGAAGACTCGCTTGATGAACTAGAATATCCTAATGTCATAGGTTTATTTGGTGAAGATACTGACAAAATGCAGAGTCTTCCGATCACCCTCAGCTTCAATGAAAGTATGTTCGGAATGCAAGTTCCCCCTCGAAATGCCAAATGTTGCATCAGGACTGACCAGAGTCGGCAAATGAACCATTGATAGGGAGTGAAGTAGTTGAGCTTGTTGACCGCCTCACTTATCTTGTTAGTCTTAACAGTGCTGATAGCCTGGTGTCTGATGAAATCTCAGCGCGGACACAGAAGGCTCTACTGGTAAATGTCGACTACCTGGTTGGCATCGACGAGATGATAGTAATCGTTGGTTAGACACCCTGAATGATATGGCCCAAAACCATTTGCAACGGCGCAGATACATCTATCCTTAGAGTTTTCTCAAATCCCAATCCTCTTGATTCTACATCACCTTAATCTTTGTCTTTTTAAGTTCATTTCACTAGCTTATACTTCTTGAATAATATCTTGACAATAGTGATCATGTGTATTAGTCTTTCTCATTTGAATGATATCGTAAATTTTCAAAACAAATTTTCATTTTTCTCATCTACTATGCACCTGGGATGCGGTAAATGTTCAACAGAATTCAATTCAAATAAAGCCACATCATCTATTGATTCAGTCCGATTTTCATTTTACCGGTGAAAATCAACCGAATAAAATGTCTTTAAATATTTTTCTCTCTATTCATTATGGTATTATATGTTTTTAGTTGTTTTGATATCGAGTTTACAGATCGTTAGATATTTCTTTTGAAACTGCTTGAATCTAAACTCATGACCTTGAGAAACAAGCATCATTAGCAAGGTGCTAGTAGATAGTTTCAAAATATCGTAAACATTAGGTAGATGTTAAGCAATTAAAATAATAATAAGCTTGTAATATTTCAATGAGTAGTTTCCAATATTTAATAGTTTAGTGTAAGTTGTTTTGTCAGAAAATAAAATAACAGAATCCGGATATTAAAAATTTATTATTGTTTTTATTAATAGAATATCTATATGCTACTGATACAAAGGATCAACTAAAGAAACAAGGTTATGTGAGCAATATGCAAACAACAAAACTTTGCTGAAAACAAATGAAATGTTAATAAGTAGAGTGAAGCTGGAATATCTTTATGACTTTGTATTTCTATTACATTTGTGAGATGTTGGAGAACAACTGTCGCTCAGATAACTTACATTTATGTGACTGCATAATATTTTTTTTCACTTCAAGAACAAAATCTCTACTACTGAAGTGTGATGAATTATGCTACCGCTTTCCCGACCATACCAGCTACCTTGATGTGGTGGTCGAGCTTGCCTATCGTGATGATCTAACCAAGCTATATTGGCTGGAACGTATGTTCCTGTGCGTTCTACCATAATTGGCAGGTCGATTGGAGAACGGTGAGACTAAAAGCAGCTACTTACGGTCTGAGGGTGAGGTTGTACTGCTGACTGAAGAGGAGTGTGACAGCAGTAAGGTGTTTCCCTCGGACAACCAGCATCTGCAGCGATACTGCCTTCTCACAAGGAAGGAAGGGGTTAGAAAAGGTTGACTCTTAAAAATGTCACACATCATCTTACCTCATGGATTTCTTCCTTCGGCGGTAAGGCCTTTTAAACAAGGGCGGAGCTAACACTAAAAAACGTCTCATAAAAAGACCATGAGTGACTGGCCCGAAGCAGTTGTTCCTCGGGCTCTGCGATCGCGCTCCTAGGTTGCTAAGACCAACGCTAATCCGGTTTCGTTTTCAGGTTCCTTAAGAAGAGTACCCTTCCATCGTGTGGCCACCATGACAACCAGCCTCATATGGGTTCAGGATGATCAAGCTAACAAAAACAGTATACTTTTAAAAATTTTACGAAATAAAATAATATACAGTTAAATGCATCAAGATTACCTTTGATTTGTGGTTTTTCAACAGGAATAGTTTGTTTTAAATATAATTCTTTTTCTTTTGTTTCAACGGATAATTCATTCTGATTTTGATTTACTGATGAAATAGCTGATGATAATGTTTTGGGCTCAAATGATTCATGTTTCAGAAGATTTTTATGTGTATCGTCGCCATTGTTTGATTCTAAATGATAAGATTATGACAAAAGAGAGAGAGAAAAAAAAAATAAAACAGAACAATTCAAAACATCAATGACAAAGATTGCGTGCAAACAATGTTGAATAAAAGGAGGATCTTATCTTTTTCGGAGAAAACAGAAATTTTTTTTATAGATTTATCATAAATTAAAATGTTCATGGAATAATATTTTGATTTGATTTTATCAAAACTGGTCAGTTATTATTATTTATAAATAGCCTGAAATAAATATTTGAATAATTGAGTGATTTTAATAAACTTTTGTTGGTAAGCATGTAGGATTTATAGATTCGAAATTTAGTAAATAGATTGAAACGACGACCTTAGTTTAATTTGATCTTTCAATAAGCTTATGTACACATACTTTTCGTTATTTAATGACATTCTATGTGGATGAAAACAGTTTATTTACGAAACTATGTGAAGTATTTTTAATTGAGGTAAATAACAATGTACAGGCTTTGTTTATTCGAAAGTTGTTCATGCAATGCTTTGAACAGCTGATGTGATGAATTTTGTTGATAAAGACGAAGTTTAAACATATCATACCCTTGTTATTTGAAGACCTGAACCATTTTTTTTGAGTGACAGAATATTTCAGTATTGTTTGAAGCGCTTGTATAAAGAAAAGTAGTTCAGTTTTTTTGGCTATACAATTTTTGTATGTTATTACTGAGCCCCAAGACAGTATTAATGGTCACAGTCAGTTAGTCAGTCACTCAGTCAGTTACAACTAAGAACTTCGTACACACGTACGTATATCAGTTCCAGTTGTCATAACGCATTAGCACAGTTTAAATTACAAAGTCGTATAGACAGTATTAATATTAGAGTTAATGGAGAAGAAGAATATTCAAAAATATTATTCAAGAAGTATAATTCAGTGAGATAAATTAAAGAAGCGAAAAACAGAGGTGATGTGGAATTCATAAGATTAGAATTTGAGAGAACACAAAGAATGAATGCACCTGCTTCATTGCAAAAGATTTTGAGCTTTGTCGTTCAAGATCTCTAACCATCGATTACTATCATCTGGCGGACCCCAACTAGGTAGTCGATATTTACCAATATGACTCAGTTCGCTTATCAGTGACTTCATGGATTTCTGCCGCGTTTTGGTTTGACCGCCACTAGCTCTCTTCCAACCTACTCTTGTACCACTAAACATAGCATTCGTAACACATGTCCCAATCACCTCAACTTATGAAGTTTCAATACTTCGTCTATTGGTCTGCCATTCTTACCTAGTCCTCGATTCCTAACTATAGCGTTGCTTACTCTGTTGTCCCAGGATATTCGAGAAATGCTTCGAAGACATCTATAACTGAATACTAATAAGCTACAAATGTCCTCTACTCTTACCGGCCATATCTCACAGCCATAAAGTAGGACGGAGCGAACAGCTGCACGACGACGGATATCTCGCCTGAGCAACAAGTGACACAAGTTGGCAAAGGCTAGTCGAGCCGTCTATATCCGCGCTGAGTTTTCGTCAGTCAACAGGCCACTAGCACTGATAAGACTAATAAGATAGGTAAAGTTGTCAGCACGCCCGACTACTTCACTCCCTATCACTAGTTCACGAATCGACGCAAGCCAATCTTGAAGCATCATTCTACATTTCGAGGGGAGAAAATCGCATCCCAAACATGCTTGCATTGTTGCTCAGAGTAGTCAGAATACTCTGTAATTTGTCAGCGTCTTCACCAAGTAGAACTATGTCATCAGCATATTCGTGGTAGAAAAGTTAGACGAAGATGTCTAACTGGTCACAAGTAACTCTTTTGGTTTGGATTTTCAAAGTTTAATAAACTTTAGATTATTTACCTCAGTTGGTATTGCCCATTATCCATTGTTTCTTAAACAATCACATACACTCCTAATATTAAAATTTCCAATCTTGATCGAATTTTCTGTTACTAATCCATACTTTTTCCCTTGTCTAATGTTTTTTTTTTCATACATTTCTGGATTTTCTTACTTCCTGTAGAGCTTTTGTTCTTATTCAAAAGAAAAAAATAGCGACTCATTGTAAAACGTACATTCATAGAAAACTTCATCTTGTTTTATCTTTTTACATTGTTTTTCAGTTTGACAGTATTACTATACTTTGATCTTATTCGAAGATAATGTTAATTCGATTCAAGATTCAAACACCAAGTTTCAATGGTTCAATTTTAAGTTTCTTTTTTCGATAATTTAATACTGAATAATGATTAGCTAGCTCACTTACCACCAATGATTAATTGAAATCGTTGTTCACCTAACAATTTTCCAGTTGTTGTATTGTAAACTCTAAAAATAAATAAATAAATGTGGAGATTATTGATTTGTAGTAGAAAATAGCGAAAAAAACATGAGAAAGATCAATAACATTCATTTGTACAACGATTGAAATTCAATAATGATTCTTTAAACATCTTGGTCATTCAGACAGATATCAGACACAAATATCTTTGAATTTTTTTTTTAATGTGATTGATAGAAAACTGCATTTATTTAATTGTTCTTCAATCCTAAAATCTAATTGAATGAAGTTGATTCATGTATCTTTCTGTTTTCGATATCAGCACCAAATGATTGAGAATTTTCTCTCTCTTCTTCATTTATGATTAAGTCTTTTTAATTGACCTTTTATTAATCTTTATGTACATGTGCGTGTGTGTGACCAGATTGTTCGAAATGTATGGCACAAATATATCACGACATTTTGCAGATCAGATTACGTCTTCTCATTGTTTTATGAAAGTTTATAAAAGGGATTAATCGTGTTAAATTACTTGTTATTGTCAGATTAGAAGTAGAATCCTAAAAGGCGAAATTTCGTCCTGTTTGAAACTTGCTTGCATGAATCTGGATCCCAATGACGATATCCATAGGGCGAGCCAAACCTTAGATTTATTCCTTAACTACAGACTTTTAAAACCATGAATCGATCAACGTTAGGCCACCATTAGAAACCTGGAAGCACTGGACGGCCGTTTCGTCCTGGTATGGGATTGCTTGGCTCAGTAGTCAGATGGTTAGGTGTTCGCACACAATACCGAAGGTCCTGGGTTCGAATCCTGCTGGGTGCAGGAGTCATGGATATGCACTGCTGAGGAGTCCCATACTAGGACGAAACGGCCGTCCAGTGCTTACAGGTCTCTAATGGTAGTCTAACATTGATCAATTCATGATTTCAAAAATGTGTAATTTAACAATCTTCACAATCCCGTAATGCAAGTCAACTAAAGAAAACATGAAAGCATATATGGTTACATACGGAATTCTTATCCGTCTCACAAGCCCAGAACTTTCTCAACTTAGTAGATCAGTGCAAGAAAGCATTAAGCGTTTTGAAGGGAAAAGTATAGGCAATATTTCACACAAAATTATTTGAGTCTTTACTGTATGATGCGAATACGCTTTTACACTAAATTCCATAAATCTTCGACATTTTTATTTGAATTATTTTAATAGTGAGTCATTTTACACTGCTAGCAGTTAGTTGATGCAAACCAGACGCAGTAATCTGAATAGAGATTTTGCACAAAGTCTTTACTCCTACCTACTCACTTTTTTAAGGTAACGAAAATGAATTTTATATGTCTAGAATAGTTGTTCACTGACTAATAACTATTTTATTCAAAACAATCAGAGAAAAAAACAACTGATAAGAATGAAATTAAGAGACACCATCCTTGAAACATTTGACAGTGAACGTATTTATTGAATTGGATAGTTGAATGATATTTGGTAATTAGATTTCTCTGGTTTAAAAGTTTGACAGATCTATAAGACAATGTTTTACGCCTAACATATTCAATTCTGTCTAGTCTAGTTTGTTTGATTGTTTGATATTGTTGTTTATCATTATTATTATTATTATTGCTATTATTATTATTATTATTATTATTATTATTATTATGATTTTAAAAACTATTGAATGATGTTTTAATGCACACCAATTCCGTTTTGAAAATCTGTCAACCTTAGAGTTGTCAAATTTAAACTTGATTAATTCACATCAAAACTGTTAAACACTTTGATTAACAATATATAAATAGATTATATATATATATATATATATATATTCATGAGTTGGATTACTCAGTTGGAAAGTGTATTTCATTCAAAACGATGTATGTCTATTATTTTTTAATATACAGAGGAGTATCCTGTTAAAAATAGATAATGTTATTGTACTTAGTCAGCCAGAAACAATGAGAATAGTGAAACATTTAAAATAGAATACGCTTTGATGGTTCTGCTCTATACTAAGCAGGTATATACACTTGTGGCTGGAGAGCTTGTATATAAATAACAGGTTTGCAATGAGAAAGGTGGTTGTAAATCTCACGACCTAGCTGATTTATAAATCTCCAAAGTTCCAACTGAAAATATCGTAACAATGCTCACTAATGACTAGATTCGTGAGGAAATTCTCGGAGTTCTAGTTGAGAAAACGTGACCAGTGGAGTTCAGCCCTGTCGGGTGTAGGCAGTAACTACTACCAAAGACAAATGGGTGAGGTCGCGCAAAATCCCTAGATCAATCAGAGTTAGTTATTAACACCGTTGGATTCCAGCCCAGTGGTCCGATGGTTAGGCGTTCACGCACAATACAGAAGGTCACGGGTTCGAATCCTGCGAGGTGCAGGAGTTGTGGATGCGCACTGCTGATGAGTCCCATACCAGGACGAAACGGCCGTTCAGTGCTTCCAGGTTTCTAATGGTGGTCTAAGAACGATTGACTGATGATTCCAAATGTGTAAAAACACAAATCTCTAAAGCTCTAACTGAAAATATCTAGCTGATTATCACTTAATGCAAGTTGAAATCAATCAATCATTGTCAGACCACTATTAGAAACCTGTAAGCCTTGAAAGATGACTGTTTCTTCTTGGTATGGGACTCACCAACAGTGCGCATCTAGGACTCTTTCACCTCACAGGATTCGAAACCGGGACCTTCGGTTTCTAACGCGCTAAAACCTAACCTCCGTACCAGTGGGCCAGCATCAAACGGTTCCGGCGTCTAACTCTGATCAATCTAGGGATTATACGTGATCTCATCCATTTTCCTCTGGTAGTTACTACCTACTCTTGACAGGATTGAACTCCACGGGTTACGTCTTCTCACTATTCACGAAGCTAATCATTAGTGAGCACATTGCACTATTTTCCCTATTAGGATGAATGATGATTTCAACACGTAAAATCGCTGATCTCCATAATTCTAAATGAGAAAAAGTTTATCACTTGATCAAATTGTCATAAGCTAGAGGATGATTCCATGATTTCAATCTGTGCAGTTCATGAACATCATCGGTGGTGCAGAGACGTTGATGGACGTCTGTCAAAAAGATCGTGATCTATAGTCGATGACTTATGTGGCCGCTGGAATCGGATAGCAACAGTTTAGATGTGTGTATATGCTTTTACTAGTTGTTGAAATATTGAGTTTTGACATACCTATTTTTAATTCTTTGATTCTACTATTATTTCAGAATAAATGTATGAAAAAATTTGTTACCTAGAATTGAAATTCAATTAAAAAATTAAGACATTCAGACCTTATGGCCTGCTCTCCACAGTTGCTTGAAGCTGTACCCATCGGTTGTCTGATATAATATTAGTTATGTTTGTAACCAACATACGAACATGAATAATTACTGGAAAGCTATGTTTTGTGGTATAGATCGAACCAGAATAGAATTCGTTATGTTTATAAGTAGGAAAAGCTTTTATTCCGTTGTACTGTAGTGTCTTCACATATATTTGAGTTCGCTTATATATAATTTGGTTAAGCCTCTTGATTAACTTATTTAACCAAGCCGTTTGCATAACAATAACTCAAATGTACGATTTACTTTTACTTTTGTCTTGCTTGTGTGGGCTAGTACGACTGAACATCGCTTACCGCATACGCGAATATTCATCCTGCTCGCTTTTATGTAAGCCTCTTAAATATTTCGATGACTCAGACATTTTCTCATGTATATATATGTACATTTTAATCTTATTATTTCATTCACCAATTCGATCACTCACTAGCTTGCCTACCTTTCGCTTCGTGTGCTTGTGGTCTGCTGGTCTAATTGTGGTGTACCAAATAACCGTGTTCAACAGTTTGTATTCGCCTTTTGATTATTAAACCGTGAGGCGCTATTTAAGAACAGTTGTCTGAACGAGCAAATTACGAAATCTAAGAACACGTTGGATACCGACTGTCACGAAACTAGTGAGACATTGGCCAACGTAGCATCAACTTAACCTGATAGGTAAAAATATTTATTGTTTGACAACTTACCTACAAATGTATTGACCATCGTCTGAGATCTTTTTCGGATTCACAATACTTAGAATTTGAGTGTATTCATTCACATTACTAATGATATATTTAATCCCACCAGATGCTTTATTAATGGATTCAATATTAAGCGGTTCATTGGATGATACACTGCGATACCATAAAATTGACCATTGATATTGATTATATACATGACTTGTATTTTGATCAGTTTCCGTTAAAAGCAATGAAGATAGATTACAATTCAAATGACCAGTTAAACCTTCAGATGTATATTCGAGAATTGTTTTGAGTTGTTCACCAGTTTCTAAAACAAGTATAAATGAAAGTAATTCTTTAAGTATTGCATAACAAAACATATTTTATACAAATCTTTATTTTGGAATCAATCAGTGTACAATATGTTTATACTTTTAACATTATATGACTGACAGTTATAAATGAAATGCAAATATTGATTTCATTCTCTTCAGCTACACAATATTACCTGATATCGAAAGTCAACTAGGATTATTGATCAATAGATCAATCGCAAAATCATTAATCGGTCATCAATAGAAGTGATTTGGTTAGGATTCATAAACAAATTTCTAGAATGATTGAAATGCATTCACAAATTAAATCATCATGACCACATATTTCTGGTGGATGAATAAGTAACTTGGTTTAATTAGGTTAAATAATGCTTCCTTAAGTCGTAACTTACAATTTTACAGTCTGTTTTACTGTTAGTATTTTAATCATATCGGTGCTTAAGCGTCTAGAAACTGCTTTATTTTATTCGAAACAATATCACTGCTTTTGCTCTCAGAGGTTTTACATTCAGGTTGATTAATGAAAGATCAATGTACAACAATCAGTAACCATGATTGTACTTTATTGAGCTTTTTCATGTTCCGGATTTTAGCAGAACAAAAATTCAAGGCTACTGAATGAAATATATTGATAATTAATGACAGAGAACAATTATTTATTGATATCATGAAACTTTATATGATCTAAAACAAGCAAACGGGTATCAATATATAAAACTTCATACATCTATAATACCTATCAGTTGTATATTAGGATGATTTGTAACATTATTACAGTTTATTGTATGATTTTTTCAATTAGAGTTATGGGAATCAGTGTTCTTACAATGAGCTTTACATTTACAGTCAAGAGGAAAAAAATGGATAAATTAACTAAGATGAAGTCACAGTTGTCAACAACTTTAAAGAGGAATAAACAAAATATTGGAAAGCGAAGCTCAAGAAAGAGTAGGTTGGAGAATACTACTGATTAGCGGCCTATGCTACATTGGGAGGTAACAGGCGTAAGTAATTAAGTAACTTTAAAGTATCATCCATATGTTACTGACAATCGCATCTCTGTGCTAATATGGTATAGCAGCCTGAACTGATGCACGTACGTACGATGTTCTACGGTGTAACCGACTGACTGACAAATTAATCTTCATTCAGATATCTAGTTTATTTAAACAAACGCATTTAAGAATATTGTTTTTTCTTTAGTTATAAAATGACCCATTTGCCAATATCTTAAATATTAGTCAATTCTTACTTACTAATTACCTAATGCAAACTTATTTCATTGACTGTATATAACCTAGTCATTATAAGTTATAATGTAAACCTTTTTTAGATTGCCAAATAACTAATTAGTTAAGGTAGGATATACATAAATGTATATCTCGTAAAATTTAGTCATTTTATTTAATTGATAATCAGTAATGTAGAGAGAGTATACAGTGTAAAATATAGAAATGATTGCGATTAACCTACTTAAATAAAGAAATGGATATCAATTACTGAATTATATTTCAATTGAACTATTGAAATGACAGTACATATATACATAAATATACATGCGACAACTGTTTTAATCTTGTATTTCGTATAGGACACACAATACTTAACATGATATACCAGATAATATTATGTTTAACAGTAAACATATAAGTAGTTTTTATATTAAAAGAAAAAAAAAGTGAACATCAACAAACAATTACCATTATGTACAAATTTTTCATTGTTTAATTGAATATAAAATTTACAACTGACTGATTCTCCACCATATTCATTCTCATTACTATTAGCATTAATACCATTGGTATAGTCGTTAATTTGCATGTACTGATAGATTCCTGTATCGGATTTTGTAATTTTTGTTATTTTCAGTGATCCATCTAGTCACAAAACAGATGGTAAGAAGATTGTGGGTCAAATTTTTAAAAACTGGTGATTAATACCTATAAAATAACATAACGTTTACTTACATGATAATATCATGCAAGCTACTGCATAAATACCAGCGAATTATATGAATGAGTCTTCGGTCATCATTGTTAGGTATAGTTTACATCATAGTTTGATTTCATCCAATTTGTTGCTGTTTTATTCTAGTATGAGACTCCTTAGCGTAGCACACTAGTGGCTTGGGTCGAACTCAGAACCGTCTGGATTTGAGGCAAGATCCTAACCCTTAGACTACTGATTTAGTATTCTGTGATTTGCATTTTCCAATATAATGCAACAGTCTCTCAGTGCCACTGGTGAGTGAATGACTCACAACTTACGTAGTTAAATTCTATCGGTCATGATTTCTGACTGAAGTTGCTAGAAAAGTCTCGCGAGATTTGTCACTGTTGAGCACGAAACCAATATCATTATACAGGAAATGTTATACTTCATTCTCGACGCCAATATATTTTCTTCGAGATTCATTAGATCACTGTAGTTTTTAAAAGCTTAAATTAAATGTGGAGCGCCTAGAATAACCAACTTACGCTACAGAATATTAATTACGCTGCCAAACCACCTATCTCAGTGGTTGCACTAGAACTTGATTGACATAGCTGTAAATTGTTCAGTCTTAATATACCCAGTTTGTCACTGATTAACATAAATCAATCAGAGTGGAAAGTTTAAAATTGATCGAATTTAAAATCTTTCAAACATTTAAAATAACAGACAGCAAAGAAATTGATGCCTTGACTAAACACACTGGCAATAATTAATCATGATAGTTTAACATTAAATGTTACTGATAATGGATGAAATGTTAATAGGAGGATGGAGAGAGAGAGAAATAATTTTTTCCATCACATTATTGATTACGATTATGATAAAATAATCATGAATGTGTAATTAGAACAGTTTCATGGGAAGTTTTTTCATAAAATGCAGTCCAACCATGTAGTGAACCTGTAGTACCTACATACCTACTTACGTTTGTTACCCTCAGCGGAGCATAGGGAAAATTAGGTTTCATCGAATCGATTCCGATGATGATTTTACTTATGTAGAGGAGCAACTTTTAATCGATTGCTAGGAACTTGATAAAAAAGATGGATAGAATATCCACATTTCAATTACATATTATACCAAGCATACATTTTAGTGAATGAGGAATAATTTGATTCCGTGATTCAGCTTTTTACTATTAGGTGCTTTAATAAATTCGCCGTAGACAAACACAATAAAACAGAACTATGTATCTCACTTCTTAAAAAAAAGACTTGAACATTAACTTTTGGTAAAACATGTTTTCCATTTCTTCAAACTGAAGATATATGTCACTTACGATGACTAGTACTGAGAATATCTCACTATGAATTTTAGCTAACAATATTGTGCATCAGCTAATCACTAACTTGTAAACAATGTCATATTATATGATCTACGGTGCTAACTGAATTCTAACCAGATCTAATAATCAGTATATATCAATGTAAGATAATTTTTCTGGAGTCTCAACCAAGATATTGTCTGTACAACAACTCAACCTTCTCATTTGAGTTAGCAGACAAGGGAAAAGATGACAGAGGTACTATTGTTCACCGTGCTGAAGTTGTAAAAGGGTCAGACAGTATCAACGTTTCGTTGCTAAGGGCAATTCTTGATCATATATTCAATCGTTACGCTTATGACTCCATCAAAACAAACAAACAACATACCTTCAAAATCATAATGATTTTCAGCTTGATTAATTTTGACAAATTGACCATTATGAATCCATTTATTTCTTCTGTATGGTGAATAATTTGGCTTTCTTTTGTCATATCGATTCGCGTTGTGGTATTTTGACTGATTGATTCGTTCATTGAAATCCCATTTCTGCCATTCATCACGTGTTGGTAATTTTGGAAATGGTATAGGCTGTTCATTAATGACATTATTTGTTTGTGATTTGTTGTTACAATTTAGTATGACCTGTTGACCGATTTCAGTGATGATTACTTTTGGATTTAATGAACTGGTCGATGATTGTGATCCTTGATATAAAATAATAATGACAATAATTAGAAATAATCATTAATAAAAATGTTAACTAATCCAAAGTATATTTTCTTTTTACAAGAAATGATCAAAGAAACAGATGTTTTCCTACAGGGAGTAATACTTAGCGAGATTCTGTTAAATTTAATGAACTGGTCGATGATTGTGATCCTTGATATAAAATAATAATGACAATAAGTAGAAATAATAATTAATAAAAAATGTTCACTGGCTCAATGAAGTAAAAATATATCCAAAGTATACTTCCTTTTTACAAGAAATTTTCAAAGAAACAGATGTTTTCCTACAGGCAGTAATACTTGCCGAAATTCTGTTAAATTTAGAAATAGAGTGTGTATATATATATAAATGACAGTTTGCTGAACGTTGATTGAAATGCGTGTAAGATCTATTTTTTTTAAGGCTTTGTTTGTGAAAATTTCTCCTTATTGATCCCTTCAGTTGTACATTTTGTTAGTCTGTTCGATTCCAAATCGAGATCATAAGATTTGTATTTTATTATAGTTTGTATTTCTTTTGCCTTCACTGAGTTCCTGTGTTTCTTTCTGAACTGCATTTATGTTGTTTAAGCTGGTACTTAGTCATGGCGACAGTCATATTGATTTTTGCCTTCTTTGATTGAGTTGCTTGTATTGACTGGAATTGTGCATTTCGATTGTGAATTGAAGCACGCTTCCAGGATAGGAAACACTGTGTGTTATAAAGCAACCAAATATTATCTGTCGAACGAATCTGAACTATCCAGGAGGGGTAGAATATCTTTTATTTTTTGCTGTTGATTTGATCAATTGTCAATTGTTGGTGGAATAAATGAGTGGTAATATTTCTTTAGTTAATGATCTACATTTATATTTATGATGAATATTACAACCATCATTTACTCAAATCACTTGTTTTGGTTTTAAACTTGGCAAGGCGCGTATCTAAACTACCTAGACAGTTATTCCTCAGTCCAAACTTCAGTTTGGATCCTACATGCGACTAAAATTGATATTCCTAGATCGATAGTAAACTACACAATAAAACTTTTAGGTCACAGTTTTTGACTAATTACTGACTTTGAATAGTCTGTAAAAATGTTTAACTAGGGAATATTAATTAAAAATATAAAATATTTATTGAAACTAGTGAATGGAAGCAGATCTGAGGTGAAAGTTAGATTATTTTATGATTTAAAACAAACGTCGTTTGCCAACATATCAATTAACATTAGAATGTGACAATAATTTTTATAATCCTTGCTACAACGAATAGATTCATTTATAACAGTTCATACGATGCTGATATTCGGGATGATTTGAGTGATACTTCTCATCAAATGAAAATGTAAACAGCGAACAACACTAATAAACACATAGAATTGTTCAAAGGTCCTGAATTTCGTCCGTCATTCTGTTTTGGTTTTCTAGGTATCTCCAGTTCATGTACATTCATTGTGTAGAATATACCAAATTCTAATTTGTTAGTAAGTTATTTACAATAATTGCTTTCGATTCAACAAGGAAAAATTAAGAAATACCATACATTATAGCAAAATTAAATTTTGAAATACAGGATATAATCGTTGGTATTTGTTATTACTAAAATAACTGAAGTACAGTGGACCTAGTTGGAGACATTCAACAAATTACTCTAGTGACACTCATCAGAGTTGGTGTTATGACAATTTTGGATTGGATGGGTTAAAATTAAACTATCAGCGTTTCAGTTACACACTAAATTTGTAAAGTGGTAGAAAACAACACAACATGCACCAACCAAATCACTCTTGATGGAGATGCCTTGAAGGACGTTAACACCTTTACATATCTGGGCAGCATCATTAACGAGAAAGGTGGATCAGATGCAGATGTGGAGGCGCGGATAGGCAAAGCAAGCGCTGCATTTCTACAGCTGAAAAATGTCTGGAACTCCAAACAACTTTCAACCTAAACCAAAATCAGGATTTCCAATACGAATGTCAAGACAGTTCTACTGTAAGGAGCGGAATCTCAGAGACCTACCAAAGCCATCATCCAGAAGATACAAGTGTTTATTAACAGTTGTCTACGCAAAATACTTCGGATTCGTTGGTCAGACACCATCAGCAACAACGAACTGTGGGAGAAAACAAACCAGATTCCAGTGGAGGAGGAAATCAGGAAGAAGCGGGGGAGTTAGTGGATAGGACACACACTACGAAAAGCATCAAACTGCGTCCCAAGACAAGACCTCACATGGAACCCTCAAGGAAAAAGGTAAAGAAGAAGGCCAAGGAACACAATACGCCGAGAAATAGAGAAAGATATGAGAAGAATGAACAAACATTGGACAGAACTGGAAAGGGAAGCCCAGGACAGAGTTGGTTGGAGAAAACTGGTTGGCGGCCTATGCTCGATTGAGGGTAACAGGCGTAAGTAAGTAAAGTAAGTAAGATGTTTTCGAGCAGATCTTCATATATGATATGTATGTGCTCTGTGACCTCAAATAAAACTAGATACAGAAAATTAGTTTTCCAAAAGTATTATTAAGTTACCTTTTTTGTCACAAATAAGCAATTCAATCACTTTAAATCTATGAACCGCTTAAAAAATGTATGAATTTTAATAATAAACATCCCTTCTGTCACATTTGCATTAAAATATATATTTAATGGTGGTCTAAATGAATTGCACAATGCAATGTCAAATATTATTACCTAAGCTATTAGTATTCACGTCAAATTAAAAATGAAAACAAATTACTTATTTTAACCAACAACTGTCTTCGGGCATCAATGCATTTACAGTGAAACTATCGTTAAAAGAAAATTCAATTTTATCGCTCACTTAATTTAAAAACCTAATTCACTTTAGACTGGTTACAAATTGAAGAAAATGTAATTTATTTTTACTTTAATTAACATGATTAATAATTATCATCAATTGTAATTCCATCACTACTTCAAATACTTCATGGGTTACACGACATACATGTAAATATAATATTGAAATGTGAAAATGTACTCATTTTTCAATACAAACATAAAGATAGTTATAGTGAATGAAGCGGAAACCTGGAGAACCATGAAATCCATCATCCACAAGATGCAAGTGTTTCCTGACAGTCGTATACTCAAGATACTGAAGATCCGTTGTCCAGACTACATCAGAAACAACTTACTGTTGTAGCAAACAAACCAGCTTGGAGCTGAGGAGGAAATTATGAAAAAAACTCTGGAGGTGCATTGGATAGACATTGCGGACAGCTTCCAACTGCCTCACAAGACAAGCCCTAAACTGAAATCCACATGGATAAAGGAAAAGAAGAATACCAAGGAACACTTTACGCCAAGAGTTAGAAACAGACATCAAAAGAATGAACAGCATTTGGGTAGGACTGGAAAGGAATGCCCAGGATAGTGTAGATTGTAGAATGCTGGTCGGTGGCCTAGGCTCGATTAGAGGTAAGCGGCGTAAGTAAGTAAGTTAGTACAACTATACATAAAAACATCATATATATATAATAATTTCTTACTCTTGATACATTTTTAATAAAATCATTCGACAAGTTAGTCAGTTCACTGTAATACTACAGTTTATGAAAGAACTGTATATCATTTATCAAATCATACAATCATAGAGAGAAGTAAATCATACGCGTTCCAAGAACAACAATGAATTGTTAACTTACTTAATACTACAATTCGAAAAGATTTTCCAATCAACTTTGCATGAGAATTATCCACTGAACAAGTGTAAATACCTGCATTTTCCATTCTAGCATATTTAATGATTAATACTCCTACAAAATAAGAGTAATACAAAATTGGTTTATCTGTTTTTTCTAAAAAAACCCAATACTCAGTAATTATATTCAGTGAGAAGTTAATATACCATGCAGGTTTTTGTAAAAGTATTCCGGAATTCAGGTTGAATGATTGCAAATCAGAAAGTAAACAATTTCACCGTATACTAGTTTTATTGGTTGTCAAAAGTTATCGATAATTAGCAGAGTTTTAAAAAAAGTGAATTGAATAAACAAGTCAGTACTCTGGCCATAGACTTGAGATTTAAAGGAAGATAAAAAGATGAATGAGATAGATATTGAGGCTTCATACAGAGAGAAACAACAGTTATGCCTTGATTTCAAGATCATTATCTCTTGTTATGGCTAACTAAAACATCCAATGACTCCATAAACTGATTCTCAATTTCGATAACTCTACGCCTGGTCTTCTTTCTAAAAACACATATACTAACCCATTACTATGAATTACTATGATTTATTGGCTGTTATTATACACAAATAAATCGATATTCTGGTTAATAGTTTGTTATTGATATCTTATCCGATAGGATCGAATTCAGAGACCTTTTGGTGGCTGCCTTGAATTAGGCGTCGGGCTCATCATTTTGATGGCCCACAATGATTTCTTTATTTTCATGACGTTCAAGTAAGCTATGAAATAAATCTTCCCTTTAGTTTTCGTGTATCATACTTAAGTGAACCGCGTTTGCGCGACGGCGGTAATAAAAAGCCGAATAAGGATTCGGTCGGATGCTTTTATTTCAAGCAGTCTTTCTTGCAGACAGACGGAAGAATACAAAGCTTGAAAGCAAAGCAAAGTGAAGCGGAGAAGGCAACCGAACCATCTCAATGCGATGAGGTATGATTAAGCATTTCCAATCAGACAAAATAAGCTAGATATGTAATAAGTGAAGTATGCAGTGCACACACATAGTCGAATAAAAACAACTAAGATGAAAGTTAATAGTTGGCAAAGTTAAAAGAATAGGGAATAGTAACTCGGGCAGAAAGGATTAGTTAGTCTGTCCGAAAGCCTTGGTCAAACCCTGTGGGCACTATAACCTGTACATGAAGAATTTAGCCAGATTAATTAGAAATGAAAATTTACGCTAGAAAAAGTAATTACAGATTTTTGTTATTAACTGCTTTTTTAAAAGCAAAGTTTAATTTCTCTATCGCACCAAGTTTTCATGCAACTTAACGGAACCCGTAGTCTTGATGGTAAAGAACATTGTCTAATATATGATGAAACAGAGCAACCGAGAGATCTAATTGTTTCTAAAATGTCCCTGTCCTATATTTACGGTTGTCTGTAAAAAAAAACAATGTACTTAAACCGCCAAAGCAACACAATACACTCATGAACAAAAGTAAATGGACATTGAATCTATTTTTTTAAAAACGCTACAATTTATCATCGTCTCATACTTACCAAATTTTTGATTAATTTCAATATTATCCATAAATCCTTCATAATACCAACGTGTTGAAACAACCGGCGCACTTTCAAATATACAAAATAACGTCAAATTGGTATTTTCATAAATTTTTATTTCTTTCATTGTATTTGATGTATTGTCATTCCGGTGAGTTGTTTTCACAACAGCATTGAACTGAGTTTCATCGTTATTAGTATTGTACAAATAGGATAAATCAGAATCATCCGATGAAAATCTTAAATGTGTACGGATTTTTTCATTCGGTTCTATATATATTTTCAAAAATTTGTAAACAAACAAAAAGAGACAGTGTTGAACTATGCAAATATGCAAGTTTTTTGTCTAGAAATAAGTAGTATATGAACAGCAAGATACTAAAAAAATAGTTCACTACAATCATTAGGTTTCAAGCTAAACTGCTTCAACTAGCTGTGATTTATAAATTAATTAATACGTACATAAAGGATATGTATCTTTCGAAGTGGATTGATTGAATTCGGGTATCCACACCACTCGATGCCATCTCAGTGGGCGAGAGGATAAGCGTAAAACTAAGAGAGCTGACTTGATTCCTGCTTGCACAGGTTGTGGATACACAGCTCTGATGAGTTTCATACTAGGACAAAACGATTTTCTAGTTCTTCCATGTTATTAATGGTAGTCTAACGTTAATTGGTTCATGATTGTAATGAAACTCAACCATCCCTAAAACCTTATTATGAGAAATTAATGAAATTCTTTACACAGTTGTACTGAGAAAAATTTGGTTGAAGTTAGTAATGTAAACCTTTTGATGCGAGATTACTGGCCTAAAAGTTAGACGATGGTCGAGAAACCAGGCCTCGACTTTTTCATTGGATTTATATCCGTCGATTCATATACGCTTCTGTCCTGAATAAGTTCCTCGGTTTTCCAAATACATTCTTCAATGTCCATAATAACTGTAGTGAGTCATTTGTCAGCTGGAACTATGACGATATCTTCCCAGGAAAGATCTCGATCTTTTTATGTAGTGAAGTCATCAACATGACCAAACGTTTGTTTGAGGGTAGTTGTTGCGGATGTTAGAAACCCAGAACTCGGTTGATAAATATCTTTATTTTGGATTTATTTCATGGACCGATCAATTGACCTTGAGATCACATTTCCCACCACGAAAATCTTCAGCTGTGATTGGTTACTGTGTCATTTTAGTGTGCTATTTTTGTGACTGTCCCAAGGACATCTCTATAGAGTGCTTGGATTCTCATTCTGTGCTGGCTGAGTGTTTGTAGAATACAATTTCTACCCTATATCAAGACTTCTTGCTGATTCATTTCGGTCAAGGGATCAAAGTAGCCTACATGTACGCTGGTTCATTGTTTTGTTCTCGTTATTTGGCTAAGGTGAACTCGTAATAGTTTAAGCATACCTAGAGATAAGCGTAACGGTAGTGGGTTTCTGGTTCATATTTCATCATTGAAATTTGTGTTTTTTTCTTATCCTATTTAATATCATATTCAGTTATTTTTAAATAGATACAGCGTTAACTCTTCAGGTATATGGGTTGATAAACATCTAAGATTACACGAAACATGTTGAAGTAATATGTCATGCCGTTTTAATAAAATTTGTCATGTTATCACACTATAAAACGAAACGATGTATGGATGTTTAAATATTTCATTTCAATGGTTTATTTTATGAACTAGGAATTCAATTATTCTGAATAAAATTTTATAAAACAACTATCAACCAACATCGAAAATCATAATTTTCAATACAAACGTCGAAATAGTTCTATTATAAGAAACAAAAACTTGGAAAACCACGAATGCCATCATACAGAAGATACAGGTATTTATTAAAAGTTGTCTACTCAAGATACTGAGGACCTATAAGCCAGTCATCATCAACAACAACCAACTTGGAGATGAGGAAGGAATTAGGACAAAGCTCTAGAGATGGAAAGGACACACATCGCACGAATCACCCATATGCGTTGCAAAACAAACCCTAAGTTGGAATCCTCAAGCTGAATGAAAAACAGGTAGACATAAGAACACCCTGCCGTGAGAATCAGAGGCAAAGATGAAAAGAATGAAGAGTGATTGAGAATAACTGGAAATCAAGGCCCAAGATAGAGAAGGTTTGAGAATGCTTATCAGCGACCTATGCTATATTAGGGGTAACAGGTGTATATAGGTAAGTGAGTAAGTGAATAAATTGACACGTATTAAGTATACACAGTTAAAACAATGGAATGTAGCATTGAGTTCTTCAGTTTCTTTACAAATTTTATAGGTTCTCTTGATCATATTTCTTTTTTGCATTACAACGTGAATATACCTTAATAAGTAGAAATTCGCATATTCAAAGCAATGAAATTATATAACTACAATTTATTCAAGAATAAAATCCATTGAAAGCTTTGTGTTCACTAGAGCTATCTATGGTTAAAGTTAGTCACAAAACTATCATCATGATAGACACTTTATTCCTCAATTAGATTTTTAGAGAATCGATCATTGTTAGACCACCATTAGAAATCACAACCAAAACATCCAGCTCAGAGAACAAAACACCACCGCAAACCTGGAATCACTGGACAGCCATTTCGTCTTGGTATGAGACTCATTAGCCATGCTCGTCCATGAATCCAGCTATTCGCAGGCTTCGAACCCGGAACCTTCCATCTAACCTCTGATCAAATATCTACACAAATACTAAAAACTTATGACTGGAGAGACTTATCGTATAATCTATAAACAGGCTTTATGAATAAACAGTCATATTTTATTTTTATTTTTGAAACACTTTTCATTAAGGTATTCATTCACCTTCTGTTTGTCAAAAATATTCTGTAATTTTTTTTTTACAAATATTATCTGTTATTAAGATTAATTTTTTTACGTGAAAACGTACAGAAAAATGTTGAATCCAAGCAAGATTTATGATAATATTCCTATTATTCATGTGCTCTCCAATATCTCCTTGCCTAATTATTTCACGTTTGTTCTAGCCATCTAATAATGTACATCAATGTATACTGGTAAGTAAGTACATTTGTGTCTATGTCATATTATGAACTGTTTAGTTTTGAAAAAACCAAACACGCTGACTGAGAAATTAAATAAGCAATACAAACAAACCTAAAAGATTAGAGATAATTTAATTATTTTCTTTAAAAAAAAAAATAAACAATTCGAAATTGAACAAATTCACATCATCATCCATACGTTAATACATTACTGTTTTCTCAAACAAAAAGCAGATATGATCGCCATTAAACACACTGAAAACACACTGAACGACCACCAAGGTTAGAATGTTTATTTTCCGGGGGGGGGAGCGTTATTTTCGATGACTAATTTGTGTACTTGCATTTTTGCTAAACATTTCCATTATTCTTGTGTAATTGATTCAGATTGTAGTGTATAATTAATTGTATATGGTTATTTTTTTTCTCCAATAAAACAAGACTTTATGAAGACCAACATGACTGTTGCATGCATGTCATGATAGATAAACCAATTACATATAGTTGTTATTTTTGGTATTAATTATGCAAAAACTAGAATGGTATTTCTAACTATGAATAAGAAGTGTTTGTGGATGCACACTGCTGATGAGTCCCATACAATGACGAAACGGTCTAACAATGATTGATTGATGATTTCAAATTTGTAAAAAAACACAAACCTCCAAAAACTCTGCCACAAAATATCGTAACAGTGCTCACTAGTGACTAGCTTCGTGAGGAAATTCTCGGAGTTGTAGTTGAGAAGACGTGACCAGTGGAGTTGGAGTTCAACCATGTCGGGTGTAGGCAGTAAATACTACCAAAGACAAATGGGTGAGGTCGCGCAAAATCCCTAGGTCAATCAGAACTAGACGCCGACACCGTTTAATGCTGGCCCAGTGGTCCGATGGTAAGGCATTCGCGCACAATACCGTAGGTTCTGGGTTCGAATCCTGCGAGGTGCAGGAGTTGTGGATGCGCACTACTGATGAGTCATATACCAGGACGAAACAGCCGTCCGGTGCTTCCAGGTTTCTAATGGTGGTCTAATAATGATTGATTGATTATTTCAAATGAATAATATAGTTGATCTCAGTGACAGTCTATAATTGTACAGCACTATTTTTAGATATAAGTGAATGAAATTAGACATCACCACTTTTGGATGCCGGTTCCTTGGTTCAGATGGTAAACCCGAAGCTCCAGGGGTCAAATCCTGCGAATAGCAGGGGTCGATTAGTCACTGTTCTGATGAGTCTTATACTGCTACGAAACATCTGTTCAGTCTTTTCAGCTTTCTAATAGTGACCTAACATTGATGAATTCATGATTTTAGTAAAGATATAATTGTATACAATAATAATATAATGATAAATAACAACTAAAAATACTTTTATGAAAGTTAAATAATAGTTAATACTTATTATAATAATCTGTTCACAAATAGCAGTGGGTACGTTTTCTGAACAAATCAGTGATAGATTTACGATTCCCTAATTAGCTCATAGAGTGAGATTTTATTGGTTAATTGTCACAAAGTCTATTTTGTAAAACTTGCTACCATCAACAGATTTTGTAGCATTTAAATTTAATGTATAATAGATGTTGAATATATTTCATCATAGGGTTGTGCAGATTATTGAGTCACTTTGAAATCGTGAATCGATCAATGGTAGAACACCATTAGAAACCTGAAAGCTTTGAATGGCCGTTTCGTTCTGGTATAGAACTCATCGGGAGTAAGCATTCACGACTGTTGCTACTCAGGAATGGAATCTAGGACCTTTAGCCTTGTGAACGAACGCATCCAAAAGTCTAATTTCGATCCATCCATGGTCTTTTGCAACCTGTCACTGAACTCAGTGGATGAGGCTTCTAATGATGATCTAACATTGAATGATTTGTCATTGAATATAAGGCAATAGAAAATAAAGTGGTCAGGATAGAAATATACGCAAGGAAATCGTTTCAGCTTGAAGTAAGCAATAGTATTAATGTACAGTAAGGTGAAAAATTTAATATGATAAGTGAATATTTAACTTTATTTATTATTCTGCAGACGATGGTCTATATTTTAAAGCACCACTTAACGGTCTAAAATAACTGACTGATTTGCAAATGAACTTCTGGAAGCCGACTAGACAATCTATGACAGAAAAGTAATATTGTTACATAAAATTGGAACGAACTGATAAACCTTTACTGCATCACAGCGAGAATAAAATTAACAAGATACAGAGCATAGTAGTTGAGATAAAAATGCGTTAGGAAATCTTAAACCGAATAGATCAAATGTAGCTTCGAAGAAGAAATCCTGATGCGAACTGCTAATGAGTCCCATACTAGGACGAAATGGCCGACCAGTGCTTCCAGGTTTCTAATAGTGGTCTAACATTGATCGATTCATGGTTTCAAATATTTGTGTCCTAACAATTTTCACAATCCCGTAATGTAATATTTAAAAGTATAAATTTTATCTACTTTTCGGCTGCGTCACCTAAATCGGTTGCACAGAATTATACGTAATCATTAGTTATCATTCTATCATTGGTCAATAAAATCTGTTTTCGTAATTTCATTACCTCTCTCTTCAGCCAGAAAAATTTAATATTCTAACTTTACAGGACCTCTCAAACTATGGAATACCCAACATTCTTTAGGTTGATAAATTTATATTTATAGTTCATTCTATGAAATGATCTGAATTAGATTAGCAACGAGAAATATGAGATGTTGAACACTTATTTTGTCCAGTTATGGAGTTTCCCTTGCAATATCGATCCCTGACCCTATTAGAGAATCATGAAGCGTCAAACTTACACAGCGACGTCAGTACTTGATATAAAATGAAAAATAAGAATGTTTACGAATCCTCTTTTAAATGTTTTTACTTAAATAACAACATTTCAATCTTTTGTTTACATTTTGAATGTTCAACACAATTTGAGTTAAACGATTCAAGGTTTTGGGTATCAGTTTCTGCAATAAATAGTTCAAACCAGAAATCTTGTTATCATTTGAGCTATTGAGGCTATCACTCGGGTTTCTCGATTATGCTATGATTACTCTGTTTATGATCCATTTGAAAGTCTATTAAAAAAGACACTTTATTTGATTAACATAATATCTGATTGAGAACATATTTTTTCTAACATTATAACGGGCTGTGAGATTTCAATAACTTTATCAGATTGTTTGTTTAAACACAGTCTGAATAATCTTAGATGATGTATTTATTGTTGAACCTAAAGATAGTAAGTTCCCAAACTGGTGTGCACTTTTGAGAATCTGTAAATTATTTTTTCAAAAGTTGCTTATGGCATTTTGATCTTCATTGGAGTTTCCCGAACGATGAAAACCAGTGATAAGTTCTATCTTCATGATTAACTATGATAGCTTATTTGTGACAAGCAAATTTATATGACACATCTGATTCAAGTCTACTTCACCGTGGAGCCCCTCAGGAGTTACTTCCAGTCCTGAGTCTGGGCAGAGGAGGAGGGTTGGGCATGAAGTTAGCGACCTCATCCTATTGAAAAGTGACTCGCTAAAAAACCTTAACTATCTGAAGTTTATGCTGACGATGTTGTTCAGAAGAACACTAACAGCTTCACAACCAAAATATCCAGCTCAGAGAAAGAAACACCACCACCACAAACATTAACCAGAAAAAATAATTCAAATCGACTGTAAACTCCAAATACAAATAAGTTTAAACGAACATTATTAGATAACCAGCTATCTTTTATTTTCATTTCACAAGAAATTTCGAAAAATGAAACTATAAATTAAATCCTAATGGGGGAATAACAAATATAAACAGTTGTTAAATGTTCAATTATCTGTTACATACAAATTGACTAGAAAAACACAAGTTCACATGTACATATTTACATAAGTAGGCTAACTAGTTGGATTGATGAAATAATTTCAGCTTGTAACTTTTATTCTTCACAAAAAAAAATAGAAAGCACTGCAATAAGATTAAATATTTGAAAGAAAGAAAAAATATTTTGAAAATAGCATGTGAAACAAAACGAAGGTCGACACTATTTCCTGTTAGGTCAGTATAATGAACATCTCATTAAAGCATCTTTCTATTTTACCCTGTTTTGTCAATCATGAAAGAACATATATATATATATTGTTTTAATTCTTGTAATAAATTACATATGCATAATACATGGATTTTCCTATTTTTTTTAAAAAAAAACAAGAATCATGAAATATGCCTATACTAATGGCAAAATGCATTTCTCTCTTTATGTTGAATATATTTGTTTTTAAAAAAAACAACGAATTTAGTTTAGCTAATGAGATATTTACGTATCTGTGAAGTCAAGTTGCACTGAACATATCATGTGGATGAAGTAGTTTTTCTTTTGGACAAGATTTTATATATAACGGTAGGTTGTTTCTGTGTAAGCAAAGAAAAGTATTCAACAAAGTTGAATGCTGATATCATCTATCGTATGAAAGACTAGTTTTTTTACGTGATTATGAAACAATTAATGTCAGAATTAGATTTTTAAACAAATCATTTCAGTCGGCTGCAATGTAGGACTTCGTAAGTACGTACATTAGTTCAAGTTGCCATACCGCATTATCACAGAAATGTAACTGTCAGTTCAAATTGTGTAGTGGTGGAGATAGTAGGAGAATTAGCGGTAATGTAGCATATTAGAGATAGAAGATATTATTCAAGACGTATAGTTCAGTCAGGTAAATTTAGAAAGGGAAAGATAGAGGTGATGAGGAATTCGAGAGAACACAAAGAATGGATGCACCTGAGCTATTGCAAATGAGTTTGAGCGATGTCGTTCATTTCTGTAATTTCAAATGGAGGATATGTAACTTTTACAAGTAAGAACTTAGAAATTATTTATGATAATGGATTATAATAATCATTATTTTTCCGGAAAATACATTAGATAATTGCAACCAACATTTGTAACGAAAAGCAGTTGCAAAAAACCATTAAGGTAGTCTTATTAAGTCACAGTTCTTACATAATTTATATTTAAAGGAAATATCTACTTTTTAACTGCATGCATTTTTTAGCGAGTTAGAAAAATTGGACAGAACGGGAAAGAGAGACCCAGAACAGAGTGGATTAGAGAATACTGGTCGGCAGCGTATGCTCCATTGTGGGTAACAGGTGTAACTAATTAAGTAAGTAAAACTGTATGCGTAAAGATTTAGTGAATCATAAAACTATTCTCTATAACTAGTGATTTATTAGGTGTGAGGACAGACAAAAAGCTATCTGATTTAAACTTTTGCTTTCTTAGTTCTGTATAGGCTTGGATATATCATTCCAAAACCAAGTGTCTCCAAGCCTCATAGTTTGGATAATTCTAGTTCAACAGTGAATTATCATCCATTAACCTGTGTTTGCGACGGTAACTGAGTAGATCTTCAGTACAGTTCTCGGCACTTACAAACAATATACTGGTCCTTTATTCCAAACTTGAATATCTCGGGAGTTTAAAGAGTTGCAAAATACGACCCATCGGATTCCAGCATTATGGAAACCTATGACACTACAAAAAGGATTTTACTCATTTTAAGACATTTATTTTATATTTATGTAAATCATGACAAGTTACATAACATTTGTTAGGCTAGAAAGTGTACTGGTATTCAAGAAAATTATGCAAGCTTTATCAAACATAAACTATGATCTTTGAATATATATACTACCAAATTAATAATATAAGTTGAAAACTTACTTGTAACAACCAGATGAGTCCTCTGATTGGATGAAACTGTTTTATCAAATAAGCTAACTGAACAATAATATTGTCCAGTGTCAGAAAGTTGTAGGGAATGAATTAGCAATACAACAGCACTTGGTTTAGGTGTTTTGTCATATTCTTGTTTAAAATGCGGTTTGTATGAACGTGTTTCCCATGGTAGACCAGAATCATCACCACCGATATAAATTAAACTATATCGATCAGCTAAACAGAGATTAACGTATTTGTTCATTGAAAAGAAGACATTTCCAAAATAGAAAATCAATGAAATCATGTTTTTTTTTAAGAAAAAGTACTTAAATTTGCTAACTGAACTGAGTACATATGTTATATTTCTAAAACATATACTAATATTGGTATTAGTCATAGTCTTGTATATCTTTTCATTGATTTCATTGATCCAGTTGGATCTACGTGGATCAATCTAAGTAACTTTTGCAGTTTCGAACAGTACAACTCCAATTCTCTATCTTCTTTTTTCATTTAGAGTTATGGAAATCAGTGTTTTTACACCTAGAAATCAATAATCAATCAATAATCAATCAATACTCGCAGGATTCAAACCCAGAACCTCCAGTCTTGAGTGTGAACGAATAGTGCGAGAAGCAGGAGTCGTATATGCACAATGCTAATGAGTCCCATACAAAGACGAAATGGCCGTCCAGTGCTTCCAAGTTTCTAATGGTTGTCTACACTTATTGAATTCAGTGTATGACTTGAGATATATAAATTTGCTGATCAAGATGAAACAAAGATATACATAATACATGCAATTTACGTTAAGTTGTTATCATACCATTGTCAACATAATCTTATCACAAACAAAATTTATACACCCGAAATTAAATTAAAAAATAATAACTTTGAAACGATAATGATAATCGATTAAAGAATGTTTTATTTTACTGAATTCTTTCTTTAGAAGTCAAAAACCATGACAAAAAATTAAGAATTATCCTTAAAAATATAATATTTTGAACAAGTTTTGAAAAAAAGGAAAATATTGAACAAAATAAATATTTTTTTATATAAATTAACTTACATTGTGTTAAATCTAATTTTATATTATTATGATAAAAGTATACTGTAGGTAATGATGGTTGTGACAATGGTAAATGACATGTAACCATTGCTGTATTCCCAATAAGAAGTGATAAATATTTATCAGAATGAGGTGGAAACTCTGGAAGAACTGTAATAGAAAATGCGTAAAACAAAAAATAGGTTATGAGATAAAATATAAATGATTCTCAGAAGGGCATAAAATAGAATATGATATTCTATCGTTAACAACATTGGCTAATCTTTGATTAAAAAATGATGCGTACCTTCTGTAACCCAGTAGGGGACTCTTTGCCAGTGTACGTTTTTTTATCATGATAGTGTGTGAATTGATGATTCCATCATGGATTGCACTTAAAAATCTGATGTCTCTAGGAAAACTCCTAGTTTTTAGATCAATGTGCCATGATCAAATGAAGTACGCATCGAATTTTAATCAACTCGTGATTATTCGCCACTGTATTTCAGTACTGGTGATAAGTATGCACCCTTTAGCCCACATGGCTTCCTACTAAAACCCATGTGACTTAGAGCATAAAAATTCTGATATACAACAACTATAGAGATGAAAAAGATATTAAGTCGTTTAATGGTTACACATTAATGAACATTTCCATTGTTTTTCTTAAGTTTCTGGTTTCGCAAAATTACAATAGATGTTACTTCTCTGTTTATCTTCGAGTTAGTTACTTACTGTCGCTCTCTCTATCTCTCTCTGACTCTTTCTCTCGTCAGTAAAACATTTTAGAATTATACATTGACAATGAAGGTTTTATTACACCTATAGTTCTCGAATAAGTGTATCTTCATAATAAATAAAACTTCATACGCAATAAAATGTTGGTTAGTAAATTGTTTCACCTTAATATTGTCTTTAAGTATACTTTCACATAATTCACATATTACTAGTCAGTAGTTTTGAAATGAATGTCACTAATTAATATATCTCAAACATGTATGTGGTGCATGGTCCACCAGAGCGTCAAGTACCTGTATGGTTTAGCCATGAGATCTTAGTCGAACTGTTCATGGTTGTAGCGTTAACATGTGGGCACTCCGTGATCCTCTTGAAAATCAAAAAACATTTATCTTTCCCAATTGAAGTTGAATCGGTATATATGTGAATAGTTGTAATAAATCTCAAACAATTATGTATCTATTACGAGTGGATCAATTGAAGTAGTGAGAGTAAACGAAATCATTTTTGTCTTAATTTAGTGTGAGATTCTCTTTTTTCTCTTTTCAACGGATGATTGAAATCATCAGAAATACTGAGCTTCAGTCAATGTTTATATATAAATATATATATAAAATCTCCATAAATTTACATAAATATATTTATTGAAAGTTGCATAAATCAGACAGTTACTCAGCTGTCAATAAACAGTCGTGTGAAATTCAGTATAAATTGAACACTTTAGAAATTCACTCGAATCTATCTATCTATCTATCTACAAATGCATTATTTGAGTGTAAAAAAAAACTCAACCTCATCGTAACGCATTGTTGCAACTAGAAAACTATCACTCAATCAACACATATAAAAAAAATGCTGCTTTTTATTATTTTTTTGGTTTAGTGTGTCTGCAATCAGGCAAACTGACCGCTTTCCCGTTGTTTTTTTGGTTTTAATATTTAGACAGAGCTCTATGAGAGCTAGAATTGTGAGAAAAATTCACACCGTATTATAAAAGTGAAAATCAAAATACAATGAATTTCTCTTCTTTTTTTCTAAAAAAAAAGTTTTTTTATTTCATTTTAATATTATTTATTTATCACACTCACACAATAACTGTTCTGTCAGACTAAAAAAAAGCGTATAAAAAAAAACTAAACCCAAGACTTTCATCGCTGTCTTTTTTGTGTCTCTTTTCATTGTCGTTTTAACGTTATTTTTGTTTCCTTGAGAAGTAAAAATAAGTAGATTGATATTGTTTTCTATTTAAATTTGTGTGACAATATCAACCTTTTTCTTTCAGTCTGTCTGTATTTCTTCTCAGTGAAAAAGGAATACTTACATTAACATCTGGATGATTTTTGGCTGATAAGTTGAAATAGATGAAAGAAGTTTGTGTATATTCTAACCAATAAATCCCAATTGATTGAACATTTAAGAGTGACCTGTGACTTATCCTAATTCTGTTGAACTAGTTGCAGTGTATGATTATTAAATGATTTGGCTTTTCAAACAGCGTTTGAATCTACAGTTAACTATCTCTAAATATCGGTACTCATGAATGAACTAGACTGATAAAAACTTATTCAGTCCTACAATTGAGTCAGTCGCAGCCAGAACGGCTCAATGATAGCATCTGAAGCTATGAACCTGAGTGATTCAGGTTCGAATCCAATTTGAAATTATATGTAACTACAGATGTGTAGCAGCCTCTCCTGTAGTAAGTCTCAACATACATAAAGTAAAAAACGAAATTTTCCGATGCAACACAACATGCGTCAGCCAAATCACGCTTGATGGAGATTCTTTGGAGGACGTTTACACCTTTACATATCTTCGCTGCATCATCGACAACCAAGGTGGATCCGATGCAGTTGTGAGGGCGCGGATCGGCAAAGCAAGGGCTGCATTTCTACAGTTGAAAAATATCTGGAACTCCAAACAACTTTCAAACAAAACCGAAATCAGGATTTTCAATACAAATGTCAAGACAGTTCTACTGTATGGAGCGGAAACTCGGAGAACTACGAAAGCCATCATTCAGAAGATACAAGTGTTTATTAACAGTTGTCAACGCAAAATACTTCGGATTCGTTGGCCAGACACCAGCAGCAACAACCTACTGTGGAAGAGAACAAACCAGATTCCAGTGGAAGAGGAAATCAGAAAGAAGCGGTGGAAGTTGATAGGACACACACTACGAAAAGTACCTAAATGCGTCACGAGACAAGCCCTCACATGGAACCCTCAAGGTAAAAGGAAAAGAGGAAGGCCAAGGAACATATTACGTCGAGAATTAGCGAAAGACATGAGAAGAATGGACAAAAATTGGACAAAACTAGGAAGGGAAGCCCAGGACAGATTTGGTTGGAGAAAACTGGTGGGCGGCCTATGCTCGATTGGGGGTAACAGGCGTAAGTAAGTAAGTAAGTAAGTCTGATGAGTAACAAATAGAGCGAAATCTAGGTCCAGCGTTTCCTATCGACAACCTCCACTTGCTTAATATTTCACAGAATGAATATAATTGTCAGTAATTTTTATATGATCGATATTCAATTAGATGTAACAAAATGAAATTTATAGGTTATCAAATAATAGGAATTATGAGAGAGCTACGAATACAAAATAATGTTTAACTAAATCATAAATTTTATTCACTGACGACGATGGTTCTTTTGTTAACTGATCTTTATAACTGCTTGACATACTAACTTTTTATCAAACTCTATACATCTGCATAAAAGATTCTTAAAAGAAACTCGTAGTTTGAACAATATTAGCAACGAGATCAGTGTGACTAGGTAAAGATACTTCTACCATAACCATTTAAGAACCATTAAAAGTTTCTTCGAATTCCTACACTTAGTCGTGAAATTTGGACTTAATCGCTTTGTGGATCATTCAAACTCGTATTTACAAATCATAACTGCAAGTCATTGAATAGCATCTTCTGTTAAAACTTGATTGTAATAACAGAAACACTGCAATCATAATTGAATTAGTTTACGTTATCAATATTATATTTGACAATTCAACATATACATACAAATATGTATATAAACAACAAGTGATCTTATCTTAGACAATTGTTTTGCCTAAATGATGGTACTTTCTTTTTCAATCATGAAAATATTCTTAAACAGGAAAACACAGATTTGTCAATAGATATAAAGACAAAACAACCTGACCAGTAAAATAAACTACACACTATTTTAGAATGTTATGTGTTATTGATATGCATAGGCAGTAAATACCATTAGATTCATCAAATTGACAGATGTTACAAAAATTTCAAAGAATATGGTAGTTAGTTTTTTATTCAAACTAGCAAAACAAATCAGTTATCATGCTGTCAAGGTCTCAGTTTCTCTATGTGTGCAAATATCATATTTTTTTTCATAGTACGGTTTTGATGGTGAATGAATAGGGTATGATGTTATCATCTGGATTTCTAGTTTATTTTCTTGATGAATAATTGAATACTTTTTTTAATTAAAACTTATAATAATATTCAAAATTTTATGCACAAACGCCTAACCTTTGGACGTTGTTTCGTACTGCTGATGAGTTCCATTACAGGACGAAACGGTCACCTAGTGCTATCAGGTTTCTAATGGTGGTCTAACATTGTTCAAATCATGGTTTCAAAAATTTGAAACCAACATTAGCCATCGGAAGCACTGAACAGTAGTGCTAATCCACGACTCCTGCTACTCACGGGAATCGAAACCGGGATCTTCGGGTCTTGCACACGAACGCCTAAACTCTGACCGGGCATCCAACAATGTTAATGTCCAACTTTGATAAATCTAAGGATTTCGCGCAACCTTATACATTGTCTTCCACAGTTACTGCCAACAGTCAACAGGGTTAAATTCTACTGGTCACGTCTTCTCATTAGTAATCCGTGAATTTGCTTACTAAACGAGTCCCCAGTGAGAATGATAGAAATAATAATATGTCTGCTCGGAGAAAAGAAAGTTTATGCATGAACTAGGGCAATAGGTTCGAATCCCTGTAACTGTTACTACATTTAGGGGACCTATTATATTTTCGGTAATTCATATTATCGCTGTTATTGCAGTCAATCTGACATAACACCCATTTTAATGCGTATCGTGTTTGTTTTGATGATTATAACTTGACATCTTGAAATCAATTTTCCTACTCCGTTGTTCAGTGACTTATCTCATTTACATTCGTTGCATTTTTGAAGAATTCAAATCTTCACCGGTGCAAAATATCACTATTTTTATACATGACACTGGTGAATTCACTCGTTCATATGTAATTCATTGTGGCTACCGTAATTATGAAATTTTAACTGCAGATCCTTATGTGCTTAAGCAATTGAAGGTAAATTTTCACTCACATATATCGTGTTTCTGAAGATTAAATCATCTAACAAAAACGCCTTTGTTCTCTTTAAATGAAACAGCCAATTACACACAAAATAATCTTAATTTACACCAAATAAAGTGCATAGACTAACATTCATGTTACGTTTGACGTCAACCTGTTTTTCATGATGTAACTTTCTTTTTGTTCTATTAAACTGTTTTGATTGTGCCAGTGTTGTGGACAAAGGATTGTGCAATTTCAGAAATGCCAATTAAAAAGTGTTTCTTTGTTCACATTTGCAATTAGGCTTATTTCCAACCACTTAAAATTTGTCACTATGTGGTAGACAAGTGAAAATCTCACTTTAAATTACTTAAATAGCTTTCATTTGTTTACAGTTTTTAATAATGTACTTAACACACATTACTTTTTTGTAGTTTTATTTATAAATATTAGATTGTACTGTATTTTTCTCTCATTTTTCGGGTGAAGTACCGATGACGTAATGGGGAAAATTTGTAACTTAAGTGGATGATTGTGTGCTGAATGTTTCGGTTGTGAAGCTTTCACTGTTATTCAACTGAACAACATCATCAGCACATACTTCAAGCAGAAGGGAAGTATTCGAATTTCCCATGTTTGACCCGTAGCTTGTTCTGTTAACCTTGATCCTGATTGGTTGTTATTGACCTTAAGCCTGATACAGTAAAAAACTTCCATATGACATAAGAATATCTCAACTTTTTTGTCATTTCTGGCAAATATTTAAGAATGCTTATTCTAAATCTGACTAGTTTATCCAGGTAATACTGTGTTCACTAGTATAAGTGGTAAAAAAATAAGTGAGTTGATTTTAAACTCAAAACTTTAAATCATTAAAATACTCTCTACATTAAAAAAACTTACCACTTGTTTTCATTTCAATTAAATGACTAGAAATAGTACCATATTTTGTAGTAGCTAAAATTAGTAATTTCATATCTGGCAAAAAATTATATACAACAATGGACCAAAGATTTATATTTTCTTTATTATTGATAAGAATATTATTGTTATTATTATTATTACTACTGCTACTACTAATACTACTGATACTACTATGAACATTGTTATTGCTAAATGAAATGAAATCATTTAACTGTGCGAAATTATCATGCAATGAAATTGATTGGATTTTGGCATAGATTTGAGCAAATCTCATTGAATAGGCTTCGGTAGAATATTCTTGTATAGTAGGCAAATAGATAATCAAATTTGGTTTGTCTTTATGTACAGCACCAAGTTGAATAGTTGCATTTCTTGGTGCAATCAATGCATACAAATGAAATTTAGGAATAAATTGTGATATAGACAATTGACTAGGTGAATAATAGATTCGATCGATTGGTTCCATGATAAATTTAGGTAGATCTGTGAAAAAAATTTTGAAAAAAAAATAGTTTGAATAGAAATGGTAAAATAATAACTGTCAGATTCTTTCTGTTCAAATTTAACTGTGCTAGTTAGTAAGAGAGATTTGGCTACCAAACGTATAAATATATGAAGCATTACAGGGTTAAGTAGATTGTTAAGTTACACATTTGAGATCATGAATCGATCAATGTTAGACCACCATTAGGAACCTGGAAGCACCGAATGACGGCCGTTTCGTTCTGGTATGAAAATTATCAGCAGTGCGCATCCTGCACACCAAGGAATTGGATTTGATTGGAGTTAGGCATTTACACCCTTGAACAACGGCTGAGTGGTCCAGAGGTTAGGCAACTATGAAGATCCTGGGTTTGAATCCTGCGAGGTGCTGTAGTCATGAATGCACACTGCTGATGAGTCCCATACTGGGACAAAACGACCGTCCAGTGCTTCCAGGTTTCTAATGGTTGTCTAACATTGATCGATTCACGTTTTCAAATCTATGAAGATATTCATTTGAAGTGATTTTCTCAATGTTTGTCTTGATGTGTGAAATTTCGAACTAACTGCGTCTTCTGACAAAGAAAGAAACTAATGATTAATTAGGATACCCTATACTTGAAGTTTTTTAATGTCCGATCATCATTATATATCGAAAAACATATTGAGACAGAGCGATTTTGTCTTTTAAGGATTCGAGAAAGTAATAGAGTATAAGTAAAACATAAGGGGAATGACTAATTTTACAGCTTACAAAAATTGACATACACAGAGATTGATCGCGAACCAGTTCACAACGTTTCGAAATTTAGAAACGTAGAAGTCTTTTCATGTCAAATAATTATCCTCGACTGTTTCAACCACCGACTATAATTTCATTAAATGTTCTCTAATAAAACATGTTAGACAGCTATTGTGTATTTCTCCTAACCATTAGTGATAAATTTTGTTGAACGCAGCAATCATCAACTGAAATTATGCCTTAAAACAGATGATTTGAAGGCACTGAAGGCACTCTGCATAGACTCATTGAAATGACTATATGAATTTGATTTCTGCGATTTTGAAGATTTATCAATACTAGTTGTATGAGATTTACACTTCTGTATCGACAATATCGACAATATTGTTCCCTTAAATTCCTTCTACATATCAGCTATGAAATTGTAATGTGAACATGAAAAAATATGATACAGTAATGTTAGCAGCAGTGCTAACTCATCATTTCACAAACCTTTAATATTGAATACATTGATTTGTAACTTATAAATACTTATCACCATTTCGAGGTCACGTTTTATAATATTAGAAAATAGTTGGAACAATTTACAAGCAAAAGTACAATGTTTACATAAAATTTGGCGATTTTCGATTAGCTTTAGTGATGACGAAACTCTTGAGTTTCAAGACAAAAGCATCAGTTTTTCTATTCAGTTTGCGTTTTAGGAGGTCTTTTTTTCAAAAGCAGAAAGAACCATCTCTGTAACCTTTGTGGCTACGTGACCTAAGTAACACATTATTTTGCACTTGACTAAATACATACTGAATTACCAATCGATGTTATAATCTGATACTATTTTATTGCGTCCAAATATGCAAATAATATGGGCTGAACTAGTTACATTGATAGCCTGAAACACTGCATTTCTTCAGTAAACTCACAATTTCGAATGCTAACCGATATATTCTTAACAGTAAATGTTACCGAGAGTTAACTGGTTTCCTGCCAAATTCCACGTCATGTTCTCAGCGCCTTGAATGACATTACCAGCTAGAATTTCGATGTTATGACGTTTGTTACACGATCATTCAGGATATTGACACCAATAAAGATTGAATGAAATTCAATCGTCAGTACTGACTGACAGAATAAACATTTCAGAAAAACGTGTTTTTCACTCATCGTTATATAACCGCCAGCTTCATGAGGCAAACTTAATTAGGCTGGATTGATTGGTGTGAATAGATACTTGAGAACTTCAGCAAACGTCGTTCGATATTAAAATAGGTCTCGTAAATTATTTTTAACTTAAATCCCTATAAATATATATATAAACACAAAAATTCAACTTACCATGGATCTCAACAAATTCATTGCACGCTATACCATTGACAAGATATGTACAGAAAAATAGACCAATACACAGGTGAACATTGCATTTTATATACATTTTCATAAATTTTTTTACAACCTATCATGCACTATCATGAAAGTGTTGATTTTGAATTTACAGATTAATGATCCATGTTTTGGGGAATTAAAAGGTAACATCCTGAAAAAAAACCAATAAAACAAAATATTTTTAATATAAAATTCCTTCATAAGCAAATTTTTAAAAAAATGAAGGGATGATAAATAATTTTAGCTGCAGATTAAAATTAGCTGGGAAACATTGAAACGAATGAGCAATGACTCACTGACTAATGGTTCCACATGAACTGAAATATCTTTAAGATCAGCTAAAATCGTAGGTACCACTGCGTGAAGGGAACCTTCTGAGAGCTTCAAAAGTTGAGATTAATTAGATGATCAGTTATTTCAAGTTTTTAACGATTTATCCGTTCGTACTACCTCGAATAACTACTTAGGTAGTTAGATTTCTTATTAGTTTCAATGAGTTTTGCTGTATAAAATAAGACACGTATTTAACTATAGTAAGTTATAATGTATGCTAATGTATTGTCTTTATAATAAATGAGCCTGTAGCTGATTACGATAATCAATAATCCTATTTGTATGTACAAAAGATCACAGTAGTTTATTCATTTAGATAAAGTGTCCAAGATTTTGTTCGTCAGTATGTAAATTTTAACAAGCATTATGGCACAATTTGAATGGTTTACCAATTATGATGTGATAAGGTAAAATTATCTAGATATTTAACTAATAATATTGACGATATGTTTGCAAATGAGAAAGATAAATTTTTGATTGACGTCTTCAAATATGATCTTCAAATATCAGTAAATATATTTTATTTAGTCTATTTATGATTTATTGAAATGCATTCTACTTTGAGATAGTTTAACCTCATTACCGATCAATTGAAACTAAAGTTGACGGAACAAGCTACAGGTCATATTACATGGAGAAATTCGAATAGTTCACTTTTTCTATCTGAAGTATGTGCTGCTGATGAAGTTGTTCAGAAGAAGAACAATGAAAGCTTCACAACTGAAACATTCAGCTGACAGAATGAAACCCCACCACAAAGCATTCTACCTTTTTTGCTTGTGATACTTTTTACCAACTGATTGATACTTGTAGCAAAGCTATTTAGGAATTTTTGCTGGTGTCTGGATATTCTACTCATAAATATATTGATTACATTATTTTTTTACATCCATTTATCAAAACATTTACATTTTAGCCAGAACTCCATAAATCCAATGAACTACAATGTAATAACATTGTGACAAATCTAAAATCGCTCGCAAGACCGGAGGTCCTGGGTTCGAATCTCACGAGGTACAGGAGTCGTGGATGCGCGCTGCCGATGAGTCCTATACCAAGACGAAACGGCTGTCCAGTGCCTCCAGGTTGCTGATGGTGGTCCAACTTAGATCAATTCATGACCCCGAAACTCAACATGACATGATTGTCTTTTTATTTTCTTTGTGACAGATATGGACCATTTTGTTAAAACATATTTCAGAATATTCCAAAAAAGAAATCTTATTCTTATATGGTGATATTATTTTAAGTTGCCATGAAAAATCAATAAAAAATCTCTCTCATCGCTTTATGTACTTTATATAATTATTTTAACCTACTGATATAAAGAGGTCTAGACATTTCTAGGTGGCACTAAGGCTATTTTAAGCTTAATTCAAAGAACCTGTAATGCAGTCATACTATGAGCATAGTTATACGGTATCAGTAACAACATTATTTACTTGTTCCTTTAAGATTAAGGTACTTATTTGTGTTTACAATCTAAGAATTTTCCCCCTTTTGACTACAGTCTCGTAAATGGTACCACCGGCAAGAAATTGCGTATTTAGACATAGCGTAATATATATTATTCTGTGAATGTTACCATTTAATAAATTCCGGCTTTGGTGATATGGTCATATGTTAAGTATACAGTTAAAGTAATATCTTTACTTTTGAATGGAGTAAGCGGAGAGACTATCAGTTTATGATGTGATAATATAAGAATAAAGGATATTTTTCATAGCAAATATTGTACAATATTATTTCTTCAAACATTATTACACATGGTTCATTAGTTAAATCAATAAAGATAGTTGTATAGTTTTGCCGTCACATCATTTCTGTGTACCTCTAAACAAACTGTATAATGGAATACTTGATATTTTTTTCTACAAAACTCTTAACCAATTTTCATTTTATATTGTGTGTGTCATTTGTTGATCTTTTAATGTACTGACTTTTTTCTTTCTGTGTAATTATTATAGATATAATCGCTTGATAAACTATGAAGCTATTCAAATCATTTGGTTGACCGATAATCTCCAACGTAGGCGTCCGCGCGCCAGTCCAAATGTCCTACGTTCAAATCCAGCGAGTGGCAGAAGTCGTGGATGAGTCTCATACCAAGATGAAACGCCCGTCTTTCAGTGCTTACAGGTCTTTAATGGTGATTTAACGCTGATTGATTCATGATTTCAATCTATAAATCCCTAACTGTAACTCATAAACTGATGAAATTCTCTAAAATAGTATAATTATAACTATTTCAAAAATAGCTAACATTCTACAACTTTGTTTTTCATTGAAAAAGTTGATTTATGTCAAATTAGTTTACTGTCAAAATATCTATCCGTCTCTCTCTCTGTATTACACTAAACTACTTCACAAAAATAAACGAAACTTCTCCTAGCAAACGTGAAACTAAAATAAAATAGTTTGATCACGTTTTTTGTGGCAAAAAAATGAAATCTTTTACAAAACTAATTATTAAAATTTCATTTCAACTTATTTATCTTACATAATATAAATTTGAAATTGTAATATATTTTTTGAAAAAAAAAATAATATTCTACAATATTTTATCAATGACAGAAAACGATGAAATAATGTCTGAAACAAAGCGTACTGTTTTTCAATTATATGTCAGCTGCATATACGTAAATATTCGTCTGTGCATCAAGTTTTATTCAAGTATACTGACTTGTTTTCTGATCAAGTTAGTTAACTCCTACTAAAGAATTTCAAAATGCTCAGTAAAAAGGGAGATAACTCAAATATGTTGATAAGAATAATTAGATTAGATAGAATCAATCGTGTAGATAAAGTGGTCGCAAAATGACATCTTACAAGCACATTATTTGCTCTCCGATCCTATGTGAAAATTAATGAAAACTTGTATCAATCAAGCTGATTCGCTTACAATGTACATGTGGGCAGTCTTCAACGTTGAGGGCAGCCGGAAAGTGACATCCTCCCTCATAACAGCACGCAAAACCGAATCAATTACAAACAAATCCATCCTACTCCTCGTAACATCTCTCTTATCTCCATTGCTACCACTATTGGATTCGAACTTACAATTGCGTCTCTTTGTTAATGCGATATGGCAACCTGAACTGATGTACGTAGGTACGAAGTTCTACGTTGTAACTGACTGATTGGTAACAGAGACTAAAAAGTTACATTCCTACATATTAGCGACCAGATAACTCTAACTAGACTTGAAACTAATATCCCCTTAACTATTAATTTAGTTGTTTTCAAAACCAAGGTAAAATATTATCAAATGTATGTATGTTTAAGTCGGTAAAAAGAAAACATAAACTGATGAAATTTTTCAAATAAGTCTGTCATTGAAAATGATAACATCCTACTGTTTTTCAACAAAACATAAAAATATCATTCAGCAATGGTATTTTCACATTGGAAATCTGATGTTAAGCTCACTATTCTAATGATGGAATTTAAATAAATTAACTAAAAAAGCATTGTACTAATTTAGTTTGTTTTATATTTCAATGACATGCATTTCACGTTTGTTTTATTTATTTAACTCACATATCAAGACAATATTTAAAAATATTAGAAGGGTAAAACATGATGTTTTTTCATTGTCTACATCGATATTTTCATGTACATGGCGGATTAGAAAATAGACAATCGATACAAATATATATATATGTAGGCATATGGATTTGGGTATAATACCTTCTTGTCTATATTGTAAGTAGACATCGTACATTTCACTGTTTATGCTTCCCTGCTGTTTGAATGAAATAAATATATATATACATATGGCATGTATGGTAAATTAATTAATGTGAATACAGTGTTTGTCATTTACAATTTTGAGATGGTGAATTTTCTGTCATTTCTATTAATCCGTATGTATATTCATACTACTGTGTATGTGATTTGAAGAACTGTTGACACTGAAATACTTTGTGATATGTACAAAACTATTAAATGTGGATTTTAGTAAAAACGAAACTGCATATCAAGAATTAATGTAATCCAGTCAAGAAACTTTACTGTTAGATTATGTATGTCATTTGCTAAACCATATTTATAGTGATCTAATAAGTAACTAAGTTAGCAGCTTTGAAAATTCACTTAAATGGTAATATTTGGATTAATAACATTGCTTAGTGAGAGGTAGTCATAAATCGATCATTGTTAGAAAACCATTAGAAACCTAGAAGCACTGGACAGCCACTCATCCATTGTCATTGGTTAGCGCCACCTCACACCGCAATACGGTGGAACTCCACTGGTCAGGATGAGGTTGCGCAAAACCATAGATTGATCAAAGTTAGAATTTACCACGGTTGGTTGTGCGATCAGTGATCTAGAAGTTAAGTGTTTGCGTGCGAGGTCCTGGGAGGAGCGGGATTCCTGGATGAGTTCTGTTGATGAGTGTCACAGCAAGATGAAAGAGCTGGTACATACTTCAAGGTTTCTAATGGTTTTCTAACAATGATCGGTTCATGGTTGCGAAGTAACTGAACAATCTTGACAACCATGTAATGAAAAAAGATAGTTTCCACAGAAGTTTTTTTATCCTAACCTGCAGGATTCGTGGATGCGCACTGTTGATGAGTCCTATGCCAGGACGGGATGGCTATCTCGTTCTTGAAGGTTTTTAATGCTGGTTTAACAGTGATTAATTCATGATTTCAATGTAAATTAAAATTCTTTAGCTTAAAATAGTTTTACTTAAGGATAGAAAATATTACAAGAAATTATGTTTGAATACATTTCACTACCATAATAGAAACTATTATAGTTCACTTCATTTTGGTTTGCATAAATTTTATGTTCTTATAACTGTTAGAA